TATATATATATATATATATATATATATATATATATATATATATATATATATATATATTAAATGTGTCATCAAAGTCCTTCCTCAATGCATTGTTAAATTCATTGTTAGATTTGTCTGTGTGCAATATGTAGTGAGAATAATATTCAACGTCGAATGCTAAATTTGTAGGATCGATTGAGAATATCTTTGGTTTACTCCATTACTGGACAGCATAGATTACGGTGAAGTACGATATCGCCGAGGTTGCAAGCTAGAACATATGATGGATTTACGTGTAGCACATTGAATTTGATGTAGTAATTAGTAACAGCACATTCCCAATACCGTTGTAAAGCCCTCGTACGAGGCGTTGTATATACTACCGATTGACAGATAGAAGGTTTTGTTACCCTTTTGTAATAGAAACAACATCAATTTTTGTATATTCTGGGAAACCACGTACCACTGTAGTTTGTACCTGCAAATATATATAGGCGAAATGTTCGTGTGCGCTTCTCGAAATTTTGAAACTTGCAAAAACAGCGTTCGGTGGCAGAAATTAATAACATCGTAACATGTACGAATAACAATTTATTACACGCATGAAAAATTAGACAATTCCCACGAGAGTTTGGAAGTCAAATACTCACACTGTATCAAAGATCTCAGCGTTATTGTTTGTCACTTGTTGGCCGATGTGGTTGCCGTAGAATATAATGCAGATTTGAACGAAAACGAGAACGAACGATATATATATTTCCATTATATTATTATATGCAATTAACGCCTGCATCAGCTGCGATATTATATGCTATTTTTGTAAGGTCGGTTACGCGTTCTTTCAACGTTTCTTCGAAAATATAAAGTGAAAAAAAATATATATAACCGAAAAGGAAATATATATGTAAAACGTCACTCACACGGAACATAGAGATACTCAGAGATGCCACACTAATTACTATTCCTATGAGAAACAGTTTTTCAAATTGAAGCACTAAAGTATCGCAGAATCTGCAATAGCGAAAATAATTTAACGTTATATATTCTACAGTCAGATGATTAAATGTTGCGTATTTTCCCTTAATGAATTTCCAAACGCATATTTAACAGAAAAATTTTCTTTTTTAGCAACTTTCAGAAAACATTTTCCTATTGGATATGGAATGCATTGCGGAACTTATCGAGATAATATTGCAACTTTAATCATCTGACTGTACTTGGAATTTTTCGAGTTGATATCACTGTAATACTGCATTTAATTCCAAACATAATGCTGAAAGGCAACAGTAAATTTTGACAAATAATGACTTCGAGTTAAACATTCTCGTAGCAAAGGACGCCTTGTGATTTGTAGACGAACGAATTAATAATAAAGAAGAAAGGTATTCGACTTTTCCAACGTTACATATAAACGAACAGTAGATTTCTTTGATGAAGGTTGACCACGTTAACCAGTCTCTTGAGAATTATATGTTCTTGCTCCGAATTGGGGAAGCGTAATATATCCTTATTTATTATCATCTCCATTCGATAGCTGTAAATATACATCGATATTATACGATTATTTGGCACCTAATCGCTTCTAATTCTCACTTGACTATTTTAAACACGCCGCAAGCATGTAAAGCGTAACCGTAAAACATTGTTCCAGTAGCCACTGTCGTAAGTATTCCTGAACAGAGGCAAATTGTTACGTGCAATGCCAACGGACCAAAATATTCGGACGGATCGACGAAATATTCTACTTCAATATATATTTTTCGCTCACGGCTCTCGTTCAAAGGCAAAACGACGTCGAGAAGCAATGGTGCAGTGGGTGCCCATATAGTCATTATCAAACCAACGAGGGCAAAAACTGAAAAATGCGGACGAATAGACTGATTAGTTATACATTATATTAATATTAAAATATACATTATATTAAAGTAAATACCCCATATACAAATATAATATTATATTAATGTAATTCTTATTATTTTTTGCTTCATTAATAGAGAAAAAGGAATACAGTTATGGAATACAGTTTGTTCAGTGTAACATTACAAAATTAGAATATCAATTATGTGTACAAAGAAAAAATAATTGGTAGAATTAACGTGACGATGACACAACTAAATATTTGGTTTTGGTTGAAAAAACAGAATTTCTAGTCTTTAAGAACAAAATTTGTTTCATAAAGACTAGAAATTCTGTTTTCTTCTACCAAAATGATTTAAGTTGCCTCGTTGTTATGTTAATTCAATGCTTCTGTCTTCTCCGCATATATATATTTATTTGGTATTTAATTGCGATTCATTAAGAATGTCGTACTCGTATAATACGCGAGTTATTATTAGCATTTAGAATATTGTGGGCGTATATATTTGATCAATGAAAATCATTGCTATGACTCGCTGGCACATATATTTGACGACATTTGCTATGCTTGTGGGTACATATATTTGCTCAAAATGAATGCGATCAGATGAACATCGGCCATATGGTGCGTTCAGCTACGCGCTACTTTGTACTTTGGGTGTTAAAGAAGTTCCCAATCGTCTGTCATAATCGTCGTATGACAATTATACAAGTATGATTCCTTTACCGTGTGCAACTCTTATCGTTTTAAAAAGAATTCCCTGCGAGACTGAAACACAAATAAATTCACAATACTTGCACGTAATCACTTACGCGTAAATACCTCCGTTAGCAGTTTCGCTGTAGAGGCGTAATCGCCCAGTATGTCTAATTCCGTTTTACTCTTAAAAGATTTCCAGTCGTCATACATGTGCTCCATAATTGCCTTGAACTATCGAGTGAACGATAACACTGACTCGTATGGAAAAAAAGTAGGAAAATACGTGATCGACTTACCTCATCGGAGTAGAAATAATAAATATAGTACACAGCCGTCGTAAAAAAAGTCGCAAAAGTAAATGACAACACATTGATAACCAATTCCATTTTGCAGTCACGAGTGACAAATACCGCTAACTAAAACGATTATTGTTACACCGGAAACACGTAACACATTAGACACACATCCTTTCGCGTGAGAACGTTGAAATAGTTGAAGAATCGGAAAGAATGCAAATACCTGCACAAATAATCCCGAGAGGAATATAAATGTCATTGTTGCAACTTGGACAAATTTCCACTTCGAGTTCCAATAGGGCCATAGGCCGAGTATCTTTAGAAAGATGCGATTAAGCTTGTAGTAATGATCCTCTATCGATAACATCCTCCACGAGAGTCCACGAGCTAGTGAAAGACAGAAGCGCCTCGAGAAAAACGATGCTTTACCACCATCTATAGTCCTCATTAAATATTACCTCTGCGATACTTTATGCATTTTCCATGGGGAAATTTTGCGAGAAGATATTACCGCGAAATAGCTTAATAACGGTCTTAATTTAACTAATTTTAAGGATTACATGAAGGGCAAGCGAGTCTCTTGATATCGAACGATTCAAGTGTCCACTTACGCGCGATGAAGTGAAAAAAACGGCAACGCCAATTGATGCAATTACAGTTTCTTCACAGTACGATATTCCTCCTTCTTAATTTATATCGAACGATGCTCTATGTGAGAATATATTTTACCATGCGTATTTTTACGCGCATGAGCGGCAGTTTTACGCAGATAGTCGTGTAGTATGATGTTAGTATCTCGTGCTTTTACCTTCGACATTGGCGGAGTGGATTCATCAGCCAGAGATGCGTCGTGTATTCTTTGAACGCATCTAGACGTATCAGTGGTAGAAAAGTAGTTAACAAACGTGAGTTTAGATTTAATAGCGTAAAATAAAGTTTGTCGTTCGACTAGCAATTCATGTAATTTACTAGTCTCGTTGTTGCTATACAAAACGACGTGTACATCAAATATCTCGTCGATTAATCGTAAAAAATAGTGAGATAGAAGGAACGGAGAAGAATAATTTATCATCTTATATACATATTGAAAAAGACATCAAGTTCTCCCGATGAATTGTTAGATATATCTTATTACAATTGTTAGATATATCTTATTACAATTGTTCATACATCTATGTGCAATATGTAGTGAAGATAATACAAATATTCAACGTTGAATGTTAAATTTATAAAATCGATTAGAAATATTTTTTATTTAAGCCATTATTGGGCAGCATAGATTACGGTGAAATACGATATCGCCAAGATTGTGAAAGTTAGAACATATGATGGATTTATATACATTGAATTTGATTTAGTAATTAGTAATAACATATTCCCAATATCGTTGTAAAGCCTTCGTACGAGGCGTTGTATATGCCATCGACTAATACATAAAAGTTTTTGTTACCCTTTTGCAATAGAAACAACATCAATTTTTGTATATTCTGGGGAACTATATACTACTGCAATTTGCACTTGCAAATATATAGAAGCGAAATGTTCGTATTTCTGCGCTTCTAAAAATTTTGAAACTTGCAAAAACAGCGTTCGGTGGCAGAAATTAATAACATCGGAGCATGTACGAACAATAATTTATTACACACAAGAAAAATTAAACAATTCCCACGAGAGTTCGGAAATCGAATACTCACACTATGTTAAAGATCTCAGCATTATTGGTTGTTACTTGTTGGCCGATGTGGTTACCGTAGAATATAATGCTGATGTGAATGAAAACGCAAGCGTGTAAGATGTAATTACAAATCGCAGTTCCAACAGCTATTGTTGTTAATAATCTTATAGTGATAAAAATTGTTCAGTGCACCATGAGCAAGTAAATACATTCGTATGGATTGAGAAAGTATTCCACGTCTACGTGCAGATTTGGCGCGCGGTTCTCGTTCCGAGGCTGTATAGCGTTGAGAAAAATGGTACATCGTTAGACAATATAATCTCTAACATCCCAACAAGTAAAAGAACAGAAAAATGCGGGGAAAGACCCATCCGTTATTTATATTACATCAGAATTAGTAAAGATATATCATAAAATTATACATATATAATTTGCATCGCATGGTTTTAATAATAAAAGAGAAATTATGATACAACTTGCGTAATATTAAAAATTAGTGTAATGAAAAGAAAATTTAATAGATAAAAAATTTGTATATCAATTATTATTATTTGATTCAATCTGATTTGTTCAATTTGATTCATTATTAAGAGTGTTATTGATATGCGAGTTACTATTAAATAAATATGACCATGTTTTGTTTTTGCCACAATTATGTCATGGGTGTAATTCATTTATTGTGTGTAATTTTTATTACTTTAAAGCGTACGTCCGTGGCTGTAACATGTAAATCTATAATCAGTGTTTACATATAAATATCTTCATCAACAGTTTTGCTGTAGAGGCGTAATCATTCAATATACAAAATTCGATTCTGTTCTTAAAAAATTTCCATTCGTGATACATATACTCCATGATTTCCTTACCGAGTTATTAATGATTAGATAGTTTAGAAAGATAAATAATAGATATAGTACAACGAAATAAGTATAGTACAACAATAATAGATATAAACAACGAGACAATAGATGGGAAAACAAAGGAAAGCACATTGATCAGCAAGTCCATAATGCAGTCGTGCGTGATAAATGCTGCTAACTAAAAACATTATTATTTTACTGACAAGACGTGGTACGCTTGATACATTTTCCCGCGTACGGATGCTAAAACGGAGGAGAATGTCTGTACGAATATCCCCGACAGGTATATAATCGTCACTGATACTATTTGGATATATATCCACTTTGATTTCCGATACGGCCACAGGCCGAGTAACTTGAGCAGAATACGACTGAGTCATGATCCTCGATTGACATCCTCCACGAGAGTCAACGTGACTGTCGAATGAAAGGGAGATGCAACGACGCTTTATCACCACCCTCATGGTTCTCATTTAATATTATATCCCCGCGATTTCTCGCGGAAAAAAGCTCATGAGGGAACATTACTCGGAAATTACTAAATAACGATCGTAATTTAGCTCATTTTCCTCGGTCACGTGAGAAGCGACCAAGAGCACGCCTCGTAATATCGATCGATTAGAGCATTTATACCTCGACCACCTGTGCGCGATAAAGGGAAATCAACAGTTGTGCTAATTGACATAATTACAGCTTCCGCAAAGTGGGTGCGGTGTCTTTTTTAAATTCACATCGCGCGCGTGACGTTCCTAGCAAAAATATTTCTCACTCAATCTTTTGAATCGTCGTGCTCAATACATCAACGAACCGTTTTTGTTTACTCTCTGACTCGGATACATTAGTCGCTGCAGGAAAATATGTAACAAATGTGGATTCGCAATTGATTAAATAAAAGGAATTTTTATTAAAATTTTTATTAAAGTTTTTATTAAAAGCCATTTGCAATTAACGTTAAGTAATTTTATTCGATTGGTGCATTTTATTACTCTTATCATTGCTATAAGAACAATGTACACATGCTTCGTCGAGGAAATGCGAAAGATAAGGCAGAAGGTACGGGGAAAAAAATTGATTTCCCTTATCAAACAGCACGAAACTCGATGCATTCATTATTTTCTTCTATGTGCAATATTCACGTTGCAAAATTGCAATACATTGCTTGACATAACCAATATTTGATATTGAATGAAATATTGAAGAAATGAATAAAAACGAATTAATTTGATATGGTCACTTGTTCTCTATAGACAACCTAATATTGTTACTAATCGAATTTTTTATCTTTTAAATCTTTTTGTAGATTTATATATGCTTGCATCGTGTTGCACTGAACGTATTATATCAAAGTATAGTATAGATACGAAATATGTCTATTTCGCTGCGATATCCTACTCGTATTCTACTCATTTTAATGACAGTGTAAAAGAACTCGATATAATAACAGGTAACATAATTGACAAGCGTTTTATATAAACGTTGCTTACGTAGTTCATATAATTGAATGCGGCGAAACGATGTGCGTAACAGAAGTAGATGGTGTATGTCGACTACACTTGTTGATTGCGACCGCCGATGTGTTATGTGGCCAGTTACGTATCTAACGAGCTTTAATTACTTGTTTCAGTCGGCACGACTGTTTCCGCATGTGATTAAGCGTTCGCTTCTATACCATTTATGAATGACTGAACTTTCTTTAATACTCCATTACTACGGTGTACATCACGGTACAACATATAAAGTACAAGATCGACGAGGTGATAAGCTAAAAAGCAAATATGCTTCTTTGTAAGAGGAACATATTCATGATTAAGCGATATCTTCTGTTAACGGGGAAAAATGATTATTATCTTAGAGAATCCCTCTAAGGACGCGACAAAGATATTACCAACTATCAGTTTTTGGTCTGTCACGGATTCTATAAACAATAGCAATTTTTGAATTGATAGCGGCGCTACGTACTATAATGTGTTGTATCTAAAAGTATTTTAGCAATAATAATACATTGACGCAATTCGATGCGTTCCAATTCACGATAGAATTCGTGTATTACTTCCGTCACTTTCGACATCTCTTTGTTGTGATCAGTAACTGCTTGTCCGGAAAAATATGCTACATATTTGCGAACATATATGCTACATGACCGAAAAACATCGAGAAGTATATACATAACTTATAGATATCGTTTAATTATGTTACGGCATGAAGGGATTGCAAACGAAGAATCGTGTGAAATCATTGATACGTCATTCGTTGCCGGTTCAGATTTTAAATAAAAACTTCATGTAAGATACAGTAGTTTTCGGGAGTGTACTCACCGCTTTAGCGTTGAAATAAAAAGAGTTGTAATTTATAGTGCAACCAATAGTGAGTAAAAAGTACGAGAGATACTTGATAATAAGCATTGGTTTATAAATTGTCATTATATATCCCGTTAACAAGAGTTTAACGTAATGTTGACAGTGCAAGTATATGTGTACATATATCTCATTTGGCGTTAAAAGCTGAAGTATAAGTGCGTAAAACAAATAGATCGTATGAATAGTGCGTATGAAGTGCGTAAAACAAATAGATCAAGAGATACCTGAAAAATTATGAAAAAAAAGTACATGGCGAAGTAAGAGATCGTTTGCATTCGCGAAACGGTCACAAGCCGATTAACGTTAATTCGATAAATGTTGTAATAACGTTCACCAGTGAAGACCATCTTACACGACTGATGAAGCGGTTTTGTCATGTAATTTGTCGTGTACGACTGACTTTATATCGAACTGAATATCTATTTTTTTGCAAACTATGGTGGAACGAACGCTATAATTTTCCACAATTTCGCAGTGAGACGGAAGACGATATAGTCCTATCGATCTATTTAGACGACTATTTGTGCCGCATCAAGAGAATTTTCCGAAAATTAAATAAATTGCCAGAGCATTGGAGGGTGTACACCCTTTCCCTCTGCAATTTACGTAGACGCAAGTGCAGTCTGCATTTTTACACGATCCGTAACATATCAGTCTATCTTGAACCAGCGGAGGATACGTTTCATTTTGAATTGACAGACAGTACGTACAGACTTGCAGTTTGCAGGGAAGTATAAATCATCAAAGTACATACATAGCGCTCACGTGAGAAGAATGAAACGTTAGCTTCGCCTAACGTAATTTTTGATAGGCAATATGCGTTGGAGACTGTCACAAGATATTCATACAAAAAACAATAACCATAGTATTCATCTTTTGCAATAGTCAAATAGAAAATTTATTAAGACAGAAAATGTTTCCGATATTAGTGTTACATTAGCTGAAAATGCGCAATAATAAGAAATTAATGAGATAAATATGGGGATATTCAAAATATTATAGTGAAAGAAAAGAAATGAAACAAGGAAAGAAACTAAGATGAAGCAGGTAATTCATTATAATATATATTTAGTGAATTTTCATTGTTTCCAATTAATTAGTGGTAAATAGATTGAATAATTTTTTATTTCACATGTAATTTTGTTCATTACGGTCAAACGCTAAATATCAAAGTTATTTTTGCTATATTAATATTGTGAATGATACGTGTAAATTTTATGACGCAATCATTTACGAAATGTTTGTACAAGTTTTCGTAAATCATGTGCTTAAACGAACACAATTACATACTTGAAAAACTCCATTCCGTATTATCTTTATGTAAACCTTTCTGAAGCAATTGGTATTTTTTTCATCGCTTGACTGTTAATTAATATTGTAAAGAACCGTAAAGTATGATATTGACGTAGTTATGAGCTAAAAACATATTTTAATCTTTATATCGTGTCAGTGTCAATATTGTTATTTTTTTGATACGCGTTGAGTAAAGCAAATCGATATTTTGCGTAAGGAAAGAAAAAGATAAATTAGACTTCTTTTAAGAAACTAATTTGGTTACGTTGTTTATGTATTTTACGTTTATTACCGTAGAAAATCCTTCCAAAGACGCTATGAAAATCCCACCAATCATTAGCGTGTTAGTTTTTAGAGTATTTTGCATGACAAATAACAGCAACTTCTGTATCGGTAGCGGAGCTAGGTACCATGCCGTATTATATCTAAAAAAATTACGAAAATAAACGATCGTGTTTTACTTTTTTAGTTTCATAAATGTCTCTTCAAATATTATATAAAATACTCGTTTCGCTTATTGCAGTTGTGTGAATGAGATTGCAAGTATTAAAAAAAAATAACAACAAAAGGAAAAGATCAAATAGAAAAATATCAGTTTGTTCCTATTATTCCATCTATTCGTACATTGAGAGAGAAAAAATGGTTGATAAATAATAGTTATTTTTGCCCCCAATCATATTTTTCGATTCTTCTAACACGGAAATTGTAATGGTATGCATATAAAGTTATTATTATTGAAATTATAGTGGAATTTAATAAATAAATGCTTTTCTTGACCATAATTTATAGTAATTACTTCTATATATGATTATATTTAAAAGTATTACATTTTTTCTCAGTACGTACGTCTTTATAAAGTACTTACGTGTTCATAAACATTTCCGTGCTATGATCTATAATTGTTTGCCCAATAAAATTAGCTAAAAACAAAATTACAAAATGGGCAAACACCATTCCGCCGCATATTATTGCTTCGGATAATTCCTTTAACACTATCACTGCAGTAAGAAACTACAATATGAGAGTATATCATGTCAATATTATGTTAGTAAGCGCAGAAAGACATATGAATGGCATTAAACGTATTACGTATAGCACGTTACATACTCGAAGAAGATTGCAACTCAGAGACAACACAGCGATCCCCATTATAACGAAAAACCACTTATTCACGATATTTAATAAGAATTTAATGAACCTTCGGGATAACAGGAAAAAATCAGAGAAAAGAAAAACGGTTTTATATCTAAGGCGAGCGTGAAAGGGTACTTTTTACATCAAATTCGATGTATGCATTATACGAAAGTACAAAGTGCAAAACGTGAAAAATAAGTTACATGAGAACTGACTGTATAGTTTTTCTGTGCAAACAAACGGCACGAGTGATTCTCCGGCACATCTCGCGCGTTCTCTGCTTAGAAGGAATCTCAAGCGTGTGCTTGGTTACTAGGCTCCCGATCAAGGTACTGCAAACGATCCGCTCGTAGTCAAAACAGTCGATAGTTACTCGTACTTAATGCAATAGTTCAAGGTGAATTATTTTGTTGTTAGCGAGGCTTGCGCGGTCGGGCGCACCTACCTAGCAATTTTGTAAGTGGCGCAACAATGTCTCAGGATCGCAAATAACAAAGTGCCGATGGCGACTACCGTTGAAAATGAGGCCATTACTACCACGATCTCGTGTATCAGATAGATGTAAAAATATTGCTGTTGGTCGAGAAACATCTCGAACATAACCTTGATCTTGCGCGGTCTGGATTCATTCATCGGCACGACAACGTCGAGAATAATCGGCAGCATTTCGATAATTATTAAGAGACTCATACCGAAGATTACCATAGCTTGTATGGAAAAAAATATATATTAGATAACACGCCATTTCTGTTTTCTGACCAAGTCAGAGATTCGCGACTCGAAGGAATGTGTCTTCAAAGAGAAAAAAATCGTGAAGTTCGAAGTTTATATAACTGACTTACAGACCAAAATCAGCGAAATTAGACGAGACTTGATGGCATATTTCTGTAATATTTTCAGTTCGCTATCGTCGACCGTATTCCAATCTGCCTCGATTTGTTCCAACAGTTGCTTTACCTGCCATTCGAAGAATCCCTGCTTTGTAAATCCCCTTCGCTCACGAAAGTATGAAATTCTCGCATTGTGCGAGAATATCGTGCAAATGAAACCACGAATTTTACTCACCTTCTTAATATTGAAGTAATAACAATTGTAAAATAAGAAATATCCGATGGAGGGGAAAATATTCGAAAGCATGTTCGTAATAAATCCAAAATCGTGCTTTGCCGTTAAAAATACCGTAAGCTACAACGGACAAACGAGCGATAACAACGTATCGAATTTGTGGCGATCCGAAAATGAATGTCAGAGTGTATCAGCCATGAGTAGTGCACGATGAGAGGGGTTGTAAGAGAGTGAACGAAACGAATAGAAAATAGATCGAGACGTACCTGAAATAATATGAAGGAGATGAACACACTGAAAAAAAACACTGTGTGTAAAATACTCTGTTTCTGATACGGCCACAAGCCGATTGTCGTCAACATGATTCGATTAATGTTGTAATATTGTTCGCCAGTGAAGACCATTCTTTACCGCGGATGAAACAATTCTGCGGACGGAGTGGTAATCGCATCGATGCTCTCTCACGCAGCACGCGGAATCAATTCATTATTATTAAACGTCCCAAATTGACATTTTTTCTATTTTTCTTCTTTTTTTATTTTCACGAATTTTTCATGGCCGGCGACTGTAATTTCGTAATTTTACACAATTACTCGTATCGTTTCCACCGATCGATCTAATTGCGAGTCGTGAAGTTGATTGCGGGCGAATTAGATGAAAATGCATCTTACAATTCTCGTATTTCGGACTTGCGCAGCTTGGCGCATCTTTGCGCGAGCGCAGTTCATGTCGTTTCTTCGTCGAACTGTTTGTCTTGAAAGAGCGAAGACACGTTCGACGGAAGTCGTGAGGTATCTCGCTAACCGTCTCCAGATCGAGATAGTTTTCTTTCACTACATATATCCGTAACGTGTTATACAGACGTCTCTCTGGCATACATTTAATTTGCATGAAACTGCTGAGTATTGATAAAAAAATGTATATATATCAAGTATTTTTCCCAACGATTTAAAAGATCGCAGAGAGATAATTCGGCTTATAGAGTGAAAGGTGCGGTTTAGCACTGCATAGAAAATACAATGTGCGTGCGAGTGAGTCGTTTATTACCTTCAAAATTAATGGGCGCTTTTCTACGGCAATCTTCTACCAAGCTATTCATGCGGCTTTCCCAAGAAGTCACTGGTAAAATGTTCGACAAAGCTGTATTTGAGCTGCGGATAATTATATTTTTTACATTAAAGTTTGAAGTACAAACGCACGCACGCGTTAATAAGCAATTAATGTTAATAAACGCAATAATATATCTGACAATTTCATATCTACGAAAATCTTTCTCTGATGTTTCACTACCAGTGCGCGAATCTCCTCTCGTACAGTGATTGTAAATAAATGCCAGCGCAATGTGCCTTATCGCTATTGCAGAGAATAAATTACTGTGAAGTAAGATAGCGACGTAGTGGACAGCTGAAATAATATCGACAAGATAATAGTCAGGATAATAATAGATATAATGGCACGTAAATCGTGAATTATGCAAATTTATGCGAAAGCTGAGCTTTCAGTGGAAATTTAATCGTCTGCGATAAATTTTCAAACTTGAGCAATTTATAAGCGCACTGTTTCTCGTTAATGTGTGTTGTGTACATTACCGTGGCGAAGCCTTGCAATAATGCTACAAACATTTTGCCAACAACTGGTTTCTATGCATTAGAAATAGTAGCATCTTTTGCAATTGTAGCGTAGCGGTATCCCACAAAACGTTGCACATCTAGATATTTCTTTTTAATCAATATTTACTGCGCGAATGTAACACGAATAATTTCACATCTTCTAATTTTGCTTGTATAAAGTTTTCTAAGATTATATACATATAATAGCGCAACATCAGCGATTATGATATCAATATTCCTACTTGGGCGCGCGCGTAACCGTGTCGAGATTTATATTTTTATCTTTGCGTGTTTCCCTTTACGAGATATGATGCCCTTAAAATTTCTATTACTCGCTGAAATTCTACGTATAAACGGAATTATGATAGCAATTTTGACTGCTCTTACCAGTGAGCTACCCAAGTTCCAGCTCCAATACATTCTCTCTCGCCTTCTTATTAGATATTATTATTTGTGATAATATAACGCGTATTACTTCTAGTTAGCTTTATATCTACCAGTATTTTGCCATCTCGATTTTCACGCGCAAGCGTCAGTCGTGCTGTATGTTAGTACTTTAAACTCTTTGCATTAGCGTGGCAGATACATCAGGCAGAAGTGCGTCGCACATTTTTTGTTCGACACATCAGTCGTCGCAAGAAAGTGCTAACAAGCGTGAGTTTAAATTTGGTAAAACAAAATGAATTCTCTCGTTCGATTAGCAATTAATGTTTATTATTAGTGATTAGCAATTTATTTATTAGTCTCGTCGTTACCATACAAAACAACATTTCACAAATCCTTCGTCGAATAACTGAGAAGAAAAGTGAGGAGGAATGCAGGAGAATAATTTATTTATCAAAAAAGTGAAATATATATATCAAGTCCCCTCGACTTGTACTGTTAGTTTCATTACAATATCTGTGTGTATGTGCCATATGTAATATGTAATAGGGATAATAGAAATATTTATTATCGAATATAAGTTGAGAATATCGATTAGGAATACCTAATACCTTCACCATAGCTTACGCCTTTATTAGATACTACAGATCACTGTGAAATACGACATAGCCATAGTTATTAGCTGGAACACAAGATTTTTTATGTACAGTACAGATTTTTTATGTACATCGAATGTAAGGTATTCCTATCATTATAGTAATCACTGTAGTAACGACACATTTCTCAGTACCTTTGTAAAGTTCTCGTACGAGGCATCAAACATGCCCCCGAGCGATAAATGAAAGTCTTTGTTACCCTTTTGCAACAGAAACAACACGAATTTTTGTATATTCCGAGAAACTACGTACCACTGTAGATTATATCTGCAAGTACACGGAACAAAAGGTGTTCGTGTTTGTGAGTGCCTTTGAAATTTTGAAACTTTATATTTTCGTTAGACGCGCGAATTTAATAAAATTGTTCTGTACGTACTATAAAATACAGATGTATTTAAATAACATAGAATACAAATTAATACCAAAAACATAGAATAGAAATTAATACCACCAAATATTAATACTACCAAGTATTAGAAGTAATAGTATGCGAATTAAAGTTTATCTACGAGAAAAATGACTGTGAAAAATTCTCATTAGACTTTGGAAGGTGAATACTTACACTGTATCAAAGATCTCAGCATTATTGTTTGTTATTTGTTGGCCGCAATGGTTGCCAAAAAATATGAATAAGATTTGAATTAAAAAGAGGCCGAACGATATACTTATTTCCATTATGCTATCACGCGCCATTATCGCCTGCATAAACTGCGGTGTTGTGTAAATATATTTTTTACAAAATTGATCATATATGTTACATTCTTCGAAAAAATATACATAGTGTAATGTATAAAAATTCACTCACTCGGAACATACAAATACTCAGAGATGCCACAGAGGGTATAATAAGTACGAAATACACTCTTTCTAATCGATTCATTAATATATTGCAAAATCTGTAACAGTGAAAATAGTCTCACGTTAAATACTGCACTTGAAATTCTATCGATCTAAAATCATCGCTATTACACATAATTTCGAAAACAATGCTGAGGAGCATGAATTTCGACAAATAATGACTTCAAGTTTAATATTCTCGCAACAAAAGATCATTTGGAGGTTTGTAGACGAATTAGTAGTAGAGAAAAAAAGTCACTGATTTTTCAGATACTATGTATGAACGAACAGAAGATTTCTTCGATGAAGATCGATTGTGCAAACCAATCTCTTCAAAATTATACGTTCCTGTTCTGGGTTAGGAATCCGTAATACGTCTTTATCCATCGTCACTTTCATTCGATAACTGTAAATGCATATCGATATTATACGATTATCTTACACCTAATCGCTTCTAATTCTCACTTGATTAACTTAAACATGCCACAAGCATGTAAACCATAACTGTACAACGTCGATGCAACAGCTAGTGCCGTTAACAACCATATACATAGGAAAACTGACATGTGCACCACGAGAAAAGGCATATATTTGGACTGATTGACAAAGTATTCCACTTTTATATACAGATGTAGTGAACGGCTTTCGTTCAGAGGTAGAATAACATCGAGAAATAATGGCATGATGTGAACTAATATAATATCTGATATCATAATGAAGGTAGAAACTGAAAAAAAACAGGCAGAGATACTTATGTATTATTTAAACACAATAACATTATTAAAATAGATATTAAAATAACAAAATAAGATAATTATACAATATAGGGAATGCAACTCGAATGACCTTGATCTTGACATATGTTTTAGTGGTCATCCTTTTGAATAATCTTCAAAAGATTTTAACCGTCGCTCGTTGTTTATTAAAAAATTGGTAATAAAAGAAATATTTAGTAATTAGTAATTATATAGTATAAGGGAATTATCTCCGATGACCTCGGTCTTAATGTTTTAAGGACATCTTATTAAGTAACTGTTGAAAAGTTTTAATTGTTGCTGATTGGTTGCTGATGAAAAAGTTATGAACAAAAGAAATTTTTTAAATATGATGTAGTTTTATTTGTATATTAAAAAGTAAGCAAATATAACAAACAGTACACGTATATGCGCGGGGGAAGGTAGAGACTTTTAAAAAAGTCCTTTTTAAAGTCCTCCCCAAAAAACTAACGTTAACCATAATCTATCTATTTGGCCAAAGAAGTTAATTTTCCAAGCCAAAAGTTAAAAAGAAGATAATCTATTGAAATATGATAAACTGTACACGTATACTGTATACGCAACCCAATCTTATATGTTTATACATAATTTGTCAATAGAAAACAACATAAGAATATAAATGCAGGTATTGTTTGAGACATTTCAATTTATACTAAATGCAAAAAATATCGTAAGCAGTACTTGCATTTGTATTCTTATATTATTTTCCATTGATAAATTATACATAAAAATATAAAGATTGGGTTACGTATATACGTGTACAGTTATTAACATATTTCAATAGATAGGTTAGGTTAGGTTAGGATTAGTTTTTTTGTGCGGCGGGAGGAGCGGCGGGAGGAGCGGCGGGAGGTGCGGAGTCTCCCCCGCGCATGTGCGTGTACTGTGCGTATTCGTATATGCACATTAATTTATGCAGTGCAAATCTACATGGTATTAATGAAACTTTTTTTCGTTAATAACTTTTTAATAAACAATTGTTAATAACTTTTTAATAAACAACGAGCGACGGTTAAAACTTTTTTAAAGATACTCAAAAGGGTGACTTCTACAACATACATCAAAGTCAAGGTAATTCGAGCTGCATCCCCTATACTACATAATTACTAAAATAATATTATATTGATAGATATATGTATTACTACATTAAGAATAAAAATAATATATAGGGTACAGTTTATGTGTTGCAGCGCAACATAAAAATTAGGATATCAATTACATATATGAAATTATTTGATTCAATCGCGACTCAGAATGCCATTAATAGACAATTTATTATTAAAGCGGCTTTAATCAATGCGACAATTATATTACAAATGTACTTCTTTTACTGTGTGCAATTTTTATTCTTTTAATACACGTCGCGACTTAAACACAAAAAATACACAATCGTTGCTTACACGTAAATATCTTCGTAAGCAGTTTCGCTGTACAAGCGTAATCGTCCAGTATATCCAATTCCACTTTACTCTTGAAAGATTTCCAGTCGTAATATATATGCTCCATGATTGTTTTGTACTATCGACTGAACGATTATTCCGCATCAGATTGAAAAAGAAAAAAAGTAAGAAAGTACGTGATCGACTTACCAGATTGGTGTTAAAATTATAGACGTAGTATAAGCTGAAAGTGAAGACCGATGGCAAAGCGAAGGAAAGCACATTTATGAGCAATTCGAAAGTGCAGTCATTAGTGATTAATACCGCTAACTAAAAACATGATTATGGTAATTATTATGATTATTACATCAACATGTTAAATATCAGAAACATTCTTTCGCGTGAAGAGGTAAAAAGGGACGAAGAATAAAAAAAGAGGACATAAATACCTGCACGAATATCGCTGAGATATATAAAATTGTTATTATTACCATTTCAACATACTTCCACTTCGACTTCTGATAGGGCCATATACCGAGCACCTTTAACAAAATGCGGTTGAGCTTGTAGTAATGATCCTCCACCGCTAACATCTTACACGAGAATCTATGAGTGAATGAAAAGAACAAGTGTCTCGGAGAAAAAACGTCGCTTTACTACCACCTATAGCCCTCATTAAATATTACCTTTGCGATACTTCAAGCACTTTTCATGGGGAAATTTCGCGAAAAGACATTACCGGGAAATAGTTAAATAATGACCATAATTTAGCCAATTTTGAGAATTACGCGAGGGGACGAAATCTTATCCCTTGATATCAAACGATTCAATAGTATCCATTATCTATGCGCGACATAATGAAAAAAATGGCGATGCAATTACGCTTTTCTCACGGGATGTGAGGAATACTTCCCCTTCCTAATTCACATTGAACGATATCTCCTGCGAGGATATATTTTGCTATGTTTATTTCTACGCGCATGGGCAACAGTTTTTACGCAGCTAGTCGTGCAGCGTGTCAGTATTTCGGACTTTTATCCTCGGCACTGGCAGAGTGGATTCATCAGGCAGAGATGCGTCATGTCGTGCATTCTTTAAACGCATCTAGACGCATCAGTCATACGAAAGTAATTAACAAATATAAGTTTAGCTTTGGTAGAGTAAAATAAAGTTTGTCGTTCGACTAGCGATTAATGTGATTTATTAGTCTCGTCGTTGCTATACAAAATGACGTGTATGTTATATCTTTCGTCGATTAATCGTAAAAAATAGTGAGATAGAAGAAACGGAGAAGAATAATTTATCATTTTATATATATATATATATATATTGAAAGTGGCATCATAGTCTTCCCAATGCATTGTTAGATTCGTATGTTTGTGTGCAATATGTAGTGAGAATAATAAAATATTCAACGTCGAATATTAAATTTGTAGGACCAATTGGGAATATCTTTGGTTTAATTATACACATAATTTTACACAGTTACGCGTTCTCTAGTTAGTGTTACGCACGTTGTTTCCCCCGATCCATCTAATTGCGAGTTGTGAAGTTGACTGTGGGCGAATAAAATAAAAATGCATTTTGCAATTCTCGTATTTCGGACTTGCGCAGTTTGGTGCACTTTTGCGCGAGTGCAGTTCACCTCGTTCCTTCGTCGACTCGAATTGTTTGTCTCGAAAGAGCGAAGACACTTTCAACGGAAGATGTGAGGTATCTTGATGACTGTCTTCAGATCGAGATAGTTTTCTCTCACTATGTATATGCGTGACGTGTTATACAGACGTCTTTCCGGTATATTCCGGTTTTATTTGCATGAAACTATAATGGGCGATTAATGTTAATAAACGATAGTGCATCTGACAATTTGATATATACGAGAATCTTTCTTTGATGTCTCACTACTAGCATGCGAATCTCTTCTCGTACAGTGACTGTAAATAAATGCCAGCGCGATGTGTCTTATCGTTATTGCAGAGAATAAATTACCGTGAAGTAAGATAGCGACTTGGTGGACAGCTGAAATAATATCAATAATAGTCAGGATAACAATAGATACAATGGCGCGTAAATCGTGAATTATGCAAATTTATTGCGAAAGCTGAGCTTTCAATGAAAATTTAATCGTTTGCGATAAATTTTTAATTTTGAGCAATTTATAAGCATTGTTTCTCTTTAATGTGTGTACATTACCGTGGCGAAGCCTTCCAATGATGCCACAAACATCTTGCCGACAACTGGCTTCACTAGTTTTATCGTTCTATGCATTAGAAACAGTAGCATCTTTTGCGACTGTAACGGAGCGGTATACCACAAAATGTTGCATCTAGATATTTTTTTTTAATCAATATTTATTCCGCGAATGTAACGCGAATAATCTCACATCTGTTAATTTTGCTTGTATAAAGTATTCTAAGAATATAATAGCGCAACATCAGTGATTATGATATCAATATTCCTACATGCGTAACCGTTTCGAGATTTATATTTTTATTTTTGTGTCCCCCCCCCCTCTTTTCGAGATATAATTCTCTTAAAATTTCTATTACTTCCTGAAATTTTCCGCATAAATAGAATTACGATAGCAATTTTGTGATGTACTCACGTAGTATTAAAAATATCTTCGCTGTGGTCAGTTATTATTTGTCCCACGTAATTCGCTATAAACATGTAAACAAAGTGAATGAGCAAGAGCGTGATAATTGTGAATAAATCTGCTAAGTCCTTTATGTCGGCCAGTTGAAGTAGCTGCAACGTTATCGTTCAATATGATTTTAATTTGACGCGTTGCGTGTATCCAAACTTTCATGCATTATCTTATATACTTACGCGACATAAATTAAGACTTATGGAAGCAACACCAACAATAATCATGATACAATATGACGTGGAAAAATTTGACAGAATTAAATCGAAGAATCTTTAAAAAAGGGAAATGCGAAAAATCTTGTTATATTAATGTTAGATGAAGACAGATGATTTTACGTTCATGTAATCTTTCTGTATTTTACATATATAACCTTTAATCCAAAGTCAAAATTTTAATTTTACATTTTACATAATAATCATGTAAATTTCGTAAAATTTGTACGATCAACATTTCGAAAACTTCGAGATATAACATTATACGTGTATGATCTGTCGACGCTACAAATAATTATTTATTGCTGTTTGTTGAGGCTTAAAAAAAGATTTCAAAATTATTTCATATATCCGATACATTATCTCTTGTATTTAATATTTATTTTTAATTTCAGGCAGCAAAGAGAGGGTGTGTATTATTCAGTAGAGTGTAATTTACTCAGTTACAAAAACGCTATTGTTATAAGCAAATATTAAATATGACTTACAATAAAAATTAATAACGAAATATATAAACTAAACGTTAAATTTTCTTTTTCCATAATATCTGTTATTTTTTATTAGCGTTAAAAATGTAGATAAAATTCGAGCATTCACAGGTTAGAAAGAACGAGTTGTACGTCTCGCCGCCGATTTTCCTGCGTCCTGGAGTCAATTTCTGGTCATCGCCGTGGTCAGACACTCAATGGCGCTACACGCAAGTAAGAATCAATCGGAAACGCGGTGTTAACTAATGTTTTGACGACGATAGTCAAATGCTACGAACAAAATACTTTCACTGTATACACAAGTGCAACCGTCCTAATTGATTAATAATTAGTAATGATTTATAATTAGTTTGATAGAGATTAATAATTTTATAATTTAATAATATTTTTTAAAGAATCGGAATATTTTGAACGTTGATTTCCCGGTCACCAGATATACGTGTCATTAATTGGCGATTGGTAGAGGGGGGGAGGGATTTGACTCGCTTGGAAGGGATGCTCCCTATTGTTTTGAAAATTTCGCGCGCCGCGTTCCGTGACCGTTAATGTGCGCGACGCGGAGCGCGTGTATCGATGCATTGTTTGTTATTGCCTTTGAGTGGTAAAAACATTTCGTCGGTTGATGACGCAGTACTATTTGTCCATTGTTTTGGTAGCCTTGTGTGTATATTTTCCGTAATCGTCAGTACGTCTCGAGCCGACAAGTGACGTACACACGCGATGTATATGTACACAGAGAAAACAATTTATTGATTCAAATAAATGTTTCTTTGGAATAGTCCAAACGAATTATTTGACACAACAAAAATATTACTTTGGAACTAAGCTGCAAATAAATATTTCTGTTGCTTCAAACAAAATTTTTTTTATTAATCGAAAAATTCGTTTGGACTATTCCAAAGAAACATTTATTTAAATTCAATCAAATCGTTCTCTCTGTGTATCGGTGCGTTATTTACTATTCCCCTTTTGTTCATTGTTTCGGTAACTTCATGCGTGTATTTTCCGTGAGTTCCGAGTCGATATATCTTGAGCCGGCGAGCGATGAGCCCATCGCGGCGCGGAGCGCGAATAACGTTAGATGCAATTCGCGTGAGTGACCGAAATATTTCGGGAAACTATTTAATCGGACTCTCGTCAACATTATGTTAGTTAACACACGTTTCTCCGATCGAATTGTATCTACGCGAGTGTCGGTGTCAGTGAGTGCCTGAAGCAGCTAGGAATAGGATGCTGGGTGCCAGGACGCAGGACGTCGAGACGTAGACATGTATATTTCAAGGTATGTCAAGGTAATTATTTATCATACAAGAGATTTTCGTTCTTAGTAGACGTTTGACAAACGTATCAGAAATAAAGAGAACTTTAAATCGAAATTTAAACCGGTATTCATAGTCTTTTATTATTTGACAATTATATCTTCGTGAATCTTCGATTATTCTTTAACTTGTACATGTTGTTACTATATTTTTCAAAAAATATATTGATCTAAATAGCCGAATAATGAATACGAATTTGTAATTCTCAATTAAATAAATATAGTTCTCGATTGAAAATCTTAAATAATTTACAACTATGATTACCAGTCTTAGAGAACGTAATCTAACGTAAATCTTGCAAGTGTTGATTTTTATGTCTAATAATGCTCCTCGGGCGGCGATTTTGTTTATATCCGTTTGTTTTTATTTTCGTTTAACTTTCTTTTCGTACAAAGTCCAAATTGAAATTTTTATGGATAAACAATATAGTTTTTCCTTCATAATTTTTTTATCAGCTTTTTTAAGATCTTAATCTTAATTATTATTATATTATTTAATATTTGCTTGTATCTCATGTACTCTATTTGAAGCTAAGTTAATACATTGCTAATTTAATAAAAACGTGATACATACTTGATGGCTCTCCGATGCAAATCCACGGCGCGAATTATCTTGCAGTATATTATTCGTTCGGTCTGCGCGACGGAGTATTGCAGGACACTTTTTTCTAACGCGTGTTCTATACGGAAACTACGAACCTTTTTTCTTAGTCATACAATTAGTTGTACAATTAATTAAACCAACGATTCGATCGCGGGTGATTTTCTCACCTGACGATTTTCAGCATCGCACAAGCGTGCTCCATATAGATCAGAGTTATCGTTCCAGTAGACACAACAGTAAAAGATCCTAGTAGGACAGCTATGAACTCGTGCAGCAGTATAAGAGGAAAGTACCTTTCAGAATCGATGAAGTATTCGACTAACACGGTCACACGGCGTGGTCGGGATTCGTTAAGTGGCATAAGCCAATCGAATATAATGGGAAAGGCTTCCAGAAATTCAAAGGCAGAATTGCCGATAAAAACTGCTACTGTAAAACGTCGAGTAATCTCTTGAATAATTTTCTCCCGCGCGACAACGATTATAAACGTTAAAGCAACTCTACACATCTCTCTTTGTCTTACGTATAAAAACGATCGTGTAAGTATGTATCGTACGAGCATATTTGTGCAATATCTCAATTTCTCTCTTGTCGTTTTGTCGTCGAAATTCCTTCCAATCTTTTCGCACTACCTCCATCAGTAGCTGGATCTGCGTACGTAAGATTAACCATTAAGCTAAACTAAATATGCTCGCGACATTTCTTCGTTTCCTCCGTCGGTAAATGCGATCGTGAGTGTAAAGAATCTCTCCATTATCGTGGATAGAATGAAGGAGAAATCAACGTAAAAACGTGACTTACTTTCGTGGCTTTAACGTAATAAGTACTGTACTTTAATGTGTAGATGATAGTGGGAAAAATGCTCGAGAGCACCTTAAGAAGCAGGTTCATATTGCATTCCGAGCTGATCAGTGTGCATAGCTGTAAATAGTAATTTTATCGAATCGTTTCGAGTATCGTGTATCTGTTCAATGTTATTTCGCACGACGAATATTGTTCGTATCGGACGAAGACGGTCTCGAAGTACCTGAACAAATATATAGTAGATGAATGTAGCGTGAATGAGTATCGGTTTAACTCGCGCGCATCTCGTCCTTCGATGTGGCCAGAGTCCGAGGTTGCTGAGAAGAATCTTGTTGATTTTATAGTATCGTTCTTCGCTGAACTCCATCTCGAGCTCTGGCAAAAATACGACTGCGCGCTCTCTCTCGCGCAAACAAAATAATTCTTTCCGTTTTTCCGTCGCGGGTATTTTCCGTTTACCTCCTTCTTACGGCGCTTTTCAATTTCTTCTAGAAATTTTGCGAAACGACAGTAACGTCGAAATAACCGACAATAGCCATAAGTGGATAATTTTCCGGGCTGCGGAAGAAACAGCGTCGAGTATTGAAATTATCGTCGGATGCGTTGTTTCGCAATAAACTTCTTTCCCCTTTTCTTCCCTTTTCTGTCGCGCAAGCGCATATAAGCTCACGCTCCTCAGTTCGTTTCGATACGTGCAGTATGTTTTATACTCACGGATACTTACGCTCTCATTGCGTTGTGGACAAAGATCTGTCCCTCTCGCGCGTTCGTCTGTTTCGTTAGACACCAATTTAACGTCGCGCTTATTATCATCACCGTCACGACACGGCTACATTGATGCAGACAACGCAACGCTGCGAACCGCTGTGGAGTCTCGCGAATGGATGGCATTAATTATGACAGCCGGCGTTAAAAATCATCGATGCAAATCAGCCGCAACTTTCTTTATGTGACGCGCGACGAACACACCCATCTCGCTCGCGCTATCAACGCGCGGAATAAATTACCACGAGGTAAGACAGCGACAGGCCGGTAAGCCGCAACACAAAGCGTCCGCATCTCGCATCGTTGCGCCAAAGTTATATCGGATTACCGGTGTATTTACGCCGCCTCTCTCGAGTGCCACGCCGGAAGTTAAGACGTTGTTTTTCATGCTTTTCAGCGCACGAGCGTGCGATGGTAACAGCGACTGCAAGCGCGCGCAACACGTCGCGCCGCGCGACGTATTCAATGAGATCGCATTATTTTCCAGCCTCGCACTCAAGTAAGTTCGCTTCAGTCAAGGGTAGTACGCGAGATCTCGCGCCGATCAAAACGCCGGGATTTCGTCGTCGCGATTCATTACTCTCTGCTCGTCATAGTTAGCAACAAAGCAAAAAATGGAAAAAGAAACGGAGTAAATTGACGAGGGTCATTTGTTAAACATTGGTCCAATTAATTCTCATTTGTAAACTGGTATGATTTATTAAAGCTCAATCATTCATTGTTGATTCGCAAACGAATGTGCTCCGCGCTCTTTTTATTTTTTTTACATTTATTCGATCGAGGTGTCCGCTAAACGCGATTAAAATTTTACACTTGCAACACTCGATATTATTATTATTATTATTATTATCATCATTATCATTATTATTATTATTATTACTAAAATGCACGAATTACCGTGAAATACGAAAATGATATGTTAGTGATCTGAAATGAAATAGAGATAAAGAGATAAAAAGAGAGCGAGAGCTCGTGATTAAACTTTCACCATCCGTACGTGTGGTTAATTACCGTCACGAAATCTTCCAACGAAGGCACGAAAATATCTTTCACATGAATGACAGTACTTTGATGCCTCTTTGCATCATATACAACAGCAATTTGCACGTGTAACGTACCATCGCGATGTGTACCTATAAACACGTTATTAATAATGAGATATCTTTCGCGTAATTTACGATATCTATATATAATCGCATGTGACATAAAACAAGTCGTGTTTTTCTATCTTTTTGAGAATAGAACTTTTCTCTCTTCCTCTCTTCGTATTTTTGAAGCTTTATTTAAAAAAAATAATATCGCGATGCATATGTTTTTCCTTAAATCTCAATGTTTTTGTGCATTTGTATTTTAACACGCCAGCTGTTATTTTGATTTTCGTTTATCGTACAAAGGCTTCACTGATGACTGAATTGCCAAAGGTATGATAAATAAATGCAATTCGAGACGCGCATATCTTTTATCTCGTCATCGGTTCATTGGCTTTATATTTGCTGTACAATTGATTTTTCAAATACAACCAATTGTACCTTATATGTAACTTAATAATATGCAACAATATTATGATATCGATCATCGTGACGTTTAACGTGTTAAAGCGCGTATCTGTTTGATGTCGAACAAAGTAAACAAATGTAAAGTAAAGAAAACATTTACATAGATCATTTTGTAAATCATTCACGTTTTAAAAGATACAGCTGTGCTGTGGTCTATCAGCTCCTGACCGGTGTGATCACACAAAAATATATAATAGATATGACGAGAACAAATAGTATAGGGGGATGATCATTCCTCAAAATCGTTCAAATATCGCATAGTCAAGAAGAACTATGCGTAAACAGAAAAATCATCTGCGCTTTACAATCTCACCAAATCAATTATCATAGCTTTCCGGAATAATCGCAGGTTACCGGTATAATTGCGGAACGATGAACTTACGCGTAGCACATCAACAGATAGAAAGATTATTCCCAAGGAAATCAAGAAAATATACAAAACAGCGAAGCCGGACCTTAGAAATCTATATTCTTACAATACAGTCACTTAACTATGCTCATTCCGAACGATCAGAGTTCAAGAACAATAGAGAACGGAGAACAATGGTAAGTACAGAACAAAATTCATCCGCCCAAGAAATTAGAGTAAATAAATAAAAAACAATAAAAGAAGTGCGTTTGTCACGCATGAAGAACATCGTATAAAATCGACTAAAACTAAACTATGTCTTTATAATTTCGAGCTCGATCTTGATTTTTAAAAGATCCCAATTGTTCGTGATGTTCTCCATGAGATTCCTCATCTTTTTGGAGACTTTTTGAGACTCGATTAATTTAGTCTAAAATATAAAGCACCAAAATATAAACGAATAGGTGTGGCAAATACAACAGAGAGATGTATCGTACGAGTTATACTATTTCGCGTTTCCTGCATAAAACATAAATCCTGTGACGTAATTAGACTTACTGACTCCGCACCTAGGCAAAAGGAAATATACTTTAGAACAAACACTATGCAAGGTGTTGCAAATGAGAGAACTTTGAGCAGTAGAGCCAAGCTGTATTCGGTTGACATTTCAGTAACTGAAAACATTTTGTTAACTGAGAAAGTTGCTTCAAGCTGAACGAAAACGTACATTATTATTACATTATACACAATATAAAATAGAAAGCGTTCTTAATAGAACATTATTTTAAGCAAATTAGATTATAACATCCGTTCTTCTTTTCCTCTAAATGTTACAAAAAGAAAAACGTACATGTATGCTGTGCATATAGTATAATACGCATCAAAAGCATTATATATATATATATGTTATTATATAAATAACAAGTTTGACTTGGTGCTAGAAATATCCATAATATTATAAATTGAAATATTAATATTTCAACGTTACTTAACTCGTTGTTCTATTGGAGTAAGATTCGCGGATTTATTCTGCCGAAATAATGAGTCTGATTTAATTGCACGTAAAAATGATTTACCTGAACAATGGTAGAAGAGACGAGAATGATGGTAGAGAATGACGCCTTGGATCTTGGTCATTTTTGGATCCTGATATGGCCGCAAGCCAGTCGAGCACAGAAGCATACGATTCAAACTATAGTAACGTTCTCCCACAAAGTCCGTGCTCATTTGATATCTTAAGACACCTTAATCTGCGTCTTTAGATGAGTTCTTTTAAGCGTTGTCCGCATATTTTATTCCAGCGCTCGGACTTTCTCCTATTTCCACAATTGGAGTCGCGTTAAAGTTATTACCCGAAATTATTCAGATGCTCCTTTCTCTCTCTTCCCCCCCTCCCCTTTTCTCCTTCTCTCTCTTTCTCCTCGTTTCTATTCCTACATTCTTCCGGCGAGAAAAATTTCACGCACGGCATATAGATACGTCTCCTATTCTGCATTTAAGAGGAGAAAAAAGAGGTTGCAACCTAATTTGTTTAAATTGCATGTATTGAGGCTAAAAGCAGCATTTTTGTCCCCTCCGGCTGAAAGTGATGCAAGCGTAGTAGCGGACGGGACATCAATCCTACGCTCCATTCTTATTTAAATCGTCGTCAGAGCAATGTCTTTTCTGGCGACACGCGTTACGACATTTTGCGCTTCACGAACACTTCAGTACATATTCAGTAACTATAATTTGCGGTCATTACAAACTCATAGCTAACAATCGATTCTCAGGAAGTTTCCTTCAATTTCGGAACGTGAGTCACATATATTCCGTACATTATATCGTACAAAGCATGAACTGCGTAAATGATTCTGTTTTGTATTTGAAATTTTCTTTATCTGAGATTTTATTTTAGATGTATTCGCGTATTATTCAAGTCACTCTTATTCTATTTCTACTTAAGGATACGAAAATAATATCTTGGTCGTTCTACAAATATATAGCGTGTTAACGGCTCTGTAGTACTATCATTATCCACAAATGTTTATCTTTATATGGTTATCGTGTGGAGCACAACAATGTAAAATAGAACATCGATAAACTCGAGAGCTGAAAAAGTATAGTGTTTCGTGCCATTCACTATGAAGATTCTGCTACCGACGAGGATATCAGTCGATTTCGCGTAAACGCAACTTTACCGTTGCAAAACCTTCCAGCGACACGATGTACACTCCTCCCAATACAACTTTGTAGCTTCGCACACTTTGCTGTATTACATATAACAATAGTTTCTGCGTCTGCACGGAGGCTTTGTATCATGGAATGTCGTATTTGAAATCGTGTACAGGATCGTGATGAGTTTTCGCTCGGAGAGAAGGGACGTCAATTTTTCCTCGAAGCAAAATGCAACACATACTAAGAAAAAAAGTACTCGGAAATTTATTTGTGGGACATAAAATTTATTCACAGAAATAAACTTTATTTCGTAGAAATAAATTTTGTTTCATAGAGATGAACTTTATATCCCATAAATAAATTTTCAAGTATCTTTTTCTCAGATCGATCGATTCGTTTTTATTAAGATCGAAATAATGTTAAGATTCTTTTCATCTTAAAGATTTTACGCTAACATTCTGTCGACCGGCTATTTGCAAATCTTTCCGACTATTTTTTCATAAACTAACAGTAAAGTTTTATCGTGATCGTTTAACATTAGGATACGTACAAAATACGTTAGAATTTGATCGTTTCTTTAAAATAACGGTAAAAACTAATATATAAATGTATATATTAATATATATATATATATATATGTTTAAGATACTTGCGTTTCATTGAGAACGTGCGTGCTGTGATCTATTATCTTTTAACCTACGTAGTTGGCTAGAAACATATAGCAGAATTGACCAGCGACAAATATCACCAACAGAACGGTGTATTCCTTGCTTACCACCAACACTGCAGTCTAAGCATTTCGTTTCGTTAGTCACAGCGCGACGCGATCAACGTTCCCGCGGTTAGTTTCGTCGGGAAACAATTTCTACGAAGTTGCATACTGGAAAATGCCTCTTAACTGGACACATGTACATACACAAACACTTACACGAAACAGATTAATATTGACAGACGCTACACCCAAACAAAGTATGACGAAAGTAGACAGACTGATCGTCGCTCTAAGGTATTCGAAGAACCTTCAATGTGAGAAAGATCCGTCTTTAAACATTACAAAATAGGAAGTGCTTGGTGCAACCAACTTGCGTTTTTGAGTAAAACGACAATTATTCTCTTATAGACTTAACTGAATGGCTCTTTGATGAGCTTGAACGGCGGCGATTATCCTCGCGCGCACGTAGGTATTCCATTCGATTGTGGAGTTCTGCGTGATGCTTTCGTCCAAAGCGTGTTTCATCCGATAACTGATGCAAAGATTAAATAAACGTGCTGTATGAAAGAGAGCGGTAAGCATTTAAAAAGCCTCAATATATGTTTTCGCTATTTTCCGTATCATTTAGCATTATATTTATCTATTTATTTATGTTCTCTTTGATTACATGAGAAAAACTTTTAAATTTTAGTTCGATTAATCATCTACCGTATATGAAAGACGTGCATTAAAAAAGAGGCATTTACATTCAGATTGATGTGAGGATGAGTGAGGAAATTGTTTTAAGGGAATTTCCCCTAATTCGTTGACTTTACCTAGCGACTTCGAACATGCTGAATATGTGATACATATTTTTGAAGAATGTAGTGTCCGTTCCCACAAATACGAACAATGATACGATGAGCGCTACAACTATGTGCATTATGAGAGTATTATAGTACTTTTGCTGGTCCACGAAATATTCCGTCAAAAACGGAAGCTCCTTCGAATGGGACTCGTTTGACGGTGTTGCGAAGTCGAATATATTCGGCAGTAAACAATAAGAAATGAAAATACTCATCGCAAAGCACATTATCACTGCAAAGAGTAAAGCAGTTAATTAAGCAGTTAATTAAGTAAATTTCTAATTTTCAAATTTCTCTGCATTTTTAGCGTGTAACATCGTCGAATTATTGATTGCATAAATAATGCCGGTACTGCCGGTACTGCTCTCTTACGCGTGAACACCATGATATATCGTCTTGCTATGTTCATGTATTTTCGAATAATGTGAATTTCCTCCTCGCTAGTTAACGAGTTCCAGTCGTCCTGAATCAGTTCCATCATTTTGATCAACTACGATTATAAATTAATTGACGTAAGACAAGAGGGGAATAACACGAACAGAGTCGCACTTTTCATTCACGACACACAGCATAATTGCACATTTTAATAAAACAAGGTGCGTGCGCGCATGCAATTAAACGCTTGGTATGAGAAATTCATCTTACTCGGCTCGTTTGTGAGTAAAAGGTTTTGTACTTGACGATGTAAATCATGGCCGGTATAGCGAATGAGATCATTGAGGATGAAATCGAGATTGCATTTCGTAATGAAGAGCTTCAATAACTGGAGTGAAACGTAGGTTATTGTCTTTTAATCGTGTCTTTTTTAAAGTAATGCGCGCATCAGTGATGTCTCATTTAATCTAGAATCCCTGATAAGTAAGAGTCTGGCCAACGTATTAGTTTGATAATGGCGTACTAACAGCCTTGTAACTGATATATGAACATATAGTTAGTTTTCTATTACTGAACTGGCTGTTCAACTTTTAGAACGTGTATTAACGTTGAAGGGAAAAGGAATGAAAATGAGTGCATTAGTTTAGAAAGTGAACTGTAGTGTGCATTAGTTTAGAAATTCAACAAAGAACAGATCTGTACACAGAATGTTAGATTATTTTTTGAATAACATTTTAATTACAACATTTTAGTTACAACCTCAATTCCACTTACTAGCAAAAAAGATTTAATTTAACATTGTATGTGTGTGATACTTTTCTTTATATATAGTTTTTAGAATTATTTAATAAAAATCAAATAATGTGATTATATTTATTCGCTTCTGAGTTAAAACATTACATTTATTTTCTATATTACATTTATTAATATTACATTTATTTTCTATATTTTTGCTTCTTAGTTATTGCGTGCAGTCGTCGTTATGATTGGTGCCGCTCTTCTGTGTTAAATCAGTTAAAATTAGGACAACATAAACCAGACTCTTACTCTTCCACTCTAGCTTAATCTCACATCGGGACAGTTAAAGGGCGATAAATAATTATTTAATCGGATGGTCCCGCATATGGAATTCAATTCCCATCCGTGCTATTACCTGCGTAACCACAGAGGACACTAGAATGACGACGGAGACGGTCGTCTGAATTGGCTTCAGCTTACGATTCCCGTGCGGCCGCAGGCCAACTGGCGATAGAAATATTCGATTCAGTTTGTAGTATCGATTCCAGAGCTGCTCCATTTCCGCTGGACGGTCGACACGCGTTTGAGCCCGGATCGCCCGGCGGTGGACCTTGACACTCCTCTTAAATCTGCATTATTCATCGTCCGTATTTCCTCGAACGCACCAATATCGTAGAACGACCGCGGTATAGAACCACGGTACGATAATACGATAATAACGTTTTCTTGAGAGTTTTCACGAGAGTTTTCTTCGTTTTCATCGAAGAGAGAGAATAATTTTACACGATGTAACGATCATCGTGTCGCCAACCCCCTTCCCGAGACGAAGGAAAATGACACTGCGCGAGTTACTCAAATTACATCAAAATGCTTTATTTTCCGTAATGGCAAAATAACGGTTACTCACCACGCAACTACCTTACATTCGCGCGAATTCTATATGTGGCGATCCGTGTGTTAGTGTGTCTAGAGCCGTCGCCGGTACATCTTCGAGCTCTTCTCCGACATAGTGTTCTTCGTATTAGACCGTAAGGGTATTCACAAGTAAGAATGACTTGTCAAAGCATACTTGTTAAAGCGTGTGCAGTAAGCTGAAGTGCAGTAAGCGCACGCAAAAACGTCATCTTAGAACGGCACACATGAAACGAGCGGTTTTAGCTCGTATGATGGCGCCATTTGTCGTTTTTTAGCATATTGAAAGTCATCTATGGTGACATTAATCATTCAAAGCGACAGTAATATTAATTCAAGCACGACGTAACAGAAAGAAGAGCTGTGTGTATATATGTATGTATATATGTACATATCGTGTTAAGAGAAAGAGAGAGAGAGATATTTAACACTAAATACAATTAAATAGAATATTCGCGACGACAAAGAGTCTGTCGAATTTACGACAAATGATCTTTTCGGGTGTAGCTTCGTTTATCTCTCTTCTTATGAAATATTCTGAAGTAACTGTCGCTCGAAAATCACTATCGGCCGCTACGTTTTCGCTCTCTCCCCGTTCGTTGGGTCCTCATTGTTGCATGGAATAAATCACCGTGAAGTACGACAGCGACATGCTCGCGAGCTGAGAAAATAAAACGTCACTTTAGGACAAAATAGAAATAAAGCTTACAGTCACAGCAGCAGCAGCAGCAGAAGTGTAAGTTACCGTGGTAAAGTCTTCCACCGATACCGAGTAAATACCGCCTATGATCAACTTGCAAGATTTCATGCTCCTTTGCATCACAAACAGCAGTAACTTTTGCGTTTGCACCGGCGCCTCGTACCATTGCGTGTTGTATCTATCAATTTTCATAATGTTCGATGTAACACCTCGCCCCACGTCGGGCAGGAAACAATTTTTTAATGCTTCGCACGTTCAACGTGCGATTGGAATGTATTATTCAAGTTTGAAAAATACGTTTATTAATTCCGACGACTCGGTTTCTCCATTAACGTCCGGCACATAATTTACACGGTACAGTTTACGGTACAATTAACAGTATAATTAATGATATTTTCAATAAAGTTGGGGTAAATCAGGAACATTCGTATCGTGGTGTACGCGAATTTGACTCTAACGATGTCGATATCCGAATGTTCTGATACGTGAATATTTCCGGTTTATGCGAGATAATTTGCGGGTTACTTTTTACAAATTACTTGGCTACTTCAGTATCGTGATTAATGTAGACTGTAAGCAAAAAACAAAATTGTAAAGTAATGTAAAAATCAATAAAAAATGGTAGGCGAGTTTGACTTGAGATTTTTGGTTTTGGCTTCCCAGGTGCTTCGTTATTTTGGATAATATACAGGGTGTCCGGGTGCAAATAATACAATAAAAGTTATATACCATTTTGAGATTTTCTCAATATTTATTCCGTAATTAATTAAAATGTATAAACGAATGAGCTTACGAGAAGCGGTAGGACAGGCTCTGTGTGTAAAAGAAATGGCTTACCTCTTAGCAGCAATAAGTAAACAGCTGATTTCGAGACGGAGTAACGTATATGTGTCGCTTGTTACTCCGCCTCGAAATCAGCTGTTTATTCATCGTTGCTAAGAAGTAAGCCATTTCTTTTACACACAGAGTCTGTTCTACCGCTTCTCGTGAGCTCATTCGTTTATACATTTTAATTAATTACGGAATAAATATTGAGAAAATTTCAAAATGATATATAACTTTTATGATTATTTTGACCCGTTCTACTCGTACACGGTGGTTGTTCGATCAGTTACCGGACATCCTGTCTGAATATCCGAATAATTTGAGTACCAAGTAGCCAAGTACAAAAAGTTAGCTGACTTATATTGATATTTATATTAGACACACACATAATGCTCGCGTGAGCGGACCGCTCGTGATTCGCGCTTGTTTCGTTCATGATACTCACGTTTTCACAGAGATTTCGGTACTGTGATCTATTATCTTTTGTCCCATGTAATTGCATATGAACATATAGTAAAAATGGCTCAATATGAATACCATATACGGTATAATGCTTTCCTTTTGCTCGGTTAGCAAGATAATTTGAGAGAGCTGAAATGCGTAAGATCGCATGAACTTTTCCCCGAATTTAAATCTCGTATTTTCGGATGTCGGGGTGAACACAGCCGACTACCGTATGTCAATGTATAATTAACGGGTCCACAAGTTCACTTACGCGAAATAAGTTGAGACTCAAGGAAGCTACGCCGCAACCAGTTAGAACGAAGTAGGATGAGGAGAATGTAGACGTCAGATACTGGAAAAACCTTAAAAAATGAAGGAACCTCACGCGTCACACATACTGAGACAATACTCGGCAGACATTTGCGAGATTTGTTATGATGGTACGATGAGTGCCGCATATAACATTTAAATGATTGCGAAGTTAATTAAAAAGTTACAAGAATGGAAAATCGAAATATGAAATCCGTAATAAGAAGAACAATAGGAACACATCCATGGATTTGAAGCGAAATCTGCTCAATAGTTTTATTTCGCGGAATATCTCTATGAAAACCGATAATAAATAAAATAAAAATAGCTATATATATATATATAAAAATCGGCAAAAAATGAAATAGCGGGTAAACAATTCAAGGATTTCGTCAAAGTGATCAAAAACGAGAAAATCACGAGAATCCGTGCATGCACAGTTCGGCAATTATTCGCAATACCTCCATAAAAATACCAAGTTGTTACCGACTTGTTGGCTCTTTGGTGGATATATACAGCGCCTATTATTTTCCTACGGATCGCGTTTGTTTCGCTCAATGCGGACGGCACCGTCCCGCTCATGTCCAACGCGTGTTCTATTCGATAACTGGAACAGTCGAGAATAGGAAGTGTCGATGGACGTGTAAGGGAGGAAATTCCTACCTTAGCAGAAGAGCAGAAAACAGAAGCCAATCGGAACTCGCGCTGGTAGAAAAGCGGAAACTGTCGACTAGTAGCTGACCACCAGTGTTAGTTCTGACTGGCTTTTGTCTTTCTATTTTTTTGCCAAGATGTTCTCTCTAATACGTAATGTTTCAGAGAAAGAGAGAGAGAGAGAAAGAAAGAAAGAGAGAGAGTTACGTATGTTTAGAATCACCACTGTGCGACCTACTTTACCTAGCCACCTTGAACAAACCGCAAGCATGATGAATGTACGCGAAGAACAACGTCTCGGTGGATACCACGATCACGATCCCTAACGTGGCTGTTAACTGCATGTGTAATAATATCGGATGAAAGTACTTTTGCTGGTCGAGAAAGTATTCTGCTAGGAACGGCAGACTCCGCGGGCGGGATTCGTTTAACGGCACCGCCGCATCGAGAATGTCCGGTAACAAGGTCCACAGAATGAAAAGCACCGTGCCGGGATAGATTATGCCTGAAAACACGAGACAACCCCTGAGCGTGGGATTATTACGAGCGAGAGAGTTCGTATATTCGTTCGTCAGCTGGAAGATGTTTCGCGGGCCGAGTATGACTCGCGTTTTACGGCTCGTACCCGCGAACGTGTACAGGTATATTCTTCCGGTTTCGGCGCATCTCTTTATTATCTTGAGTTCCCGTTCGTCCTTCAGTGCGTTCCAATCGCGCTGGACTTGTTCCATTAACTCTCTGATCTGCCCACATGCATTGCGTTTATTGCCAAGTGACTCTGGTCGTCCACTACTCCGCGCGGTGACTTACCTGCCGGGACTTTATATAAAAAGTGTTGTACTTGAGGATATAAATGACACTGGGAATGAGCATCGACAGGTCGATCAATATGAGATTGAGATCGTATTCCATTGTGAATAGTTTTAGCGACTGAAACCGACAAGACAGAAGCCTGGTTTTCATGTTGTCAGGTCGACAGGATCACAAGGTGTGTTCTCTTCTTTCGTCCGCGCGGTATTCGAGTGAAATTCGCCGCGACTGCAGCGGTTGTATTGCGCGCGAAAATGTTGCGAAAACATCGAAAGAAACGAAGGGCGAGATTATCCGAGCGAATTAAACGTACACGCGGACGGTATGAAAGCTGCACAAAAGTTACCGCGCAAATCTCATAAATACACTTCTCATTCTCGCGTGTAGAATCCCATTTACGTTCCTTTGGTATCTGGAGTAGCGTCTACCTTTTACCTGAGTGATTGTTGCAGATAGAAGTAGAATTATACAGACGGTCGCTTGAATATGCCTAAAGCTTGCCTGCTGGTACGGCCACAGACCAATCCATGACAAAAAGATTCGAATTAGCCTATAGTACTGATATCCAGGAAACTCCATTTCTCCTCGAAGTCCGCCGCGCATTTGACCTCAGGATGCCGCGGTGTCTCTTGTTGTTACATTGTACTCTTCATCGAATATTCTTCCTTCTTTTTAGAAAAGAAGAAATTGACTCGAATATTACTTAATAACGCGCGGTCCCCAATTTAACGCTCAGCCAGGCGAGAAGGTAAGAGGAAAAAGAGCGACAGCGTAAAGGCCGATGAGAAAAGTCACCGGTGCCGTCAATTACGTAAATTATGCGACACTTTGTTTCGTTCTTCACCCTTATCAAATTGCTCCCTCGGCTGCCTTCCTATTTCCTTCGCCGTCCGTTCCACGCAAGCGCACTTATGACTATGCTCCATTCGGCTTAGCCCGGTTAGTATCATTTTGCTAGTCGTACATTACGGTTTCGTATTTTCAGTGGCGAGAGACGCGCGGAAATCTTCGTTTGCATTGCGAAACAAATGGAAAATTTGCGGGATTATTTAGAGCTGTCCCCTTTGTTCGTTTGGTATGTATGGGGCACAGAAAACGACTTTTACGGAAACGAAAGCTCAAAGGATCGTGTGTGTTGCGCGGGATTAAATGATACATGTTTATATTATTCGATATGTAGGAAATAGAGACGAGGATGTTGTTTCGCGATATCCCGTGACTTGGCGGCTCATAACAGAGAGCGAAAATTTCATTCGGTGATTAATAGCAATTGAAATTCCGCCCTTCTGTGTAATAAAGATCGAAAGAGATTCTCGTTCGCGGCGTCATTGCGTCGAATAAATTACCATGAAGTAGGACACGGATGTGCTCATAGTCTAGAACAAAAAAGATCTATCTGCAAAGGATGGCATACAGGCTGAAGGCGCTGTCGTATTACTACGTGAAAGTAATTCATTACCGTGGCGAAACCTTCCAACGACGCGATATACAAACCGCCCACAAGCAGCATGCAATTTTTCGAGCTTTTTTGCATCATGAACAATATCAATTTCTGCGCGTGCAATGACGTTTCGTGCCATTTGGAGTTATATCTACAAACATTAATGAGGATATGTATCAGTACGTAGTTCTATTTGAATGAAAGAAAGTGTTGATTCTCTTGTAATATCTCTGATATGAGTTGTTCAATGTACTTCTAAATTACTATTATAGTAATTACTCAATAGTAACTTGAAATAGCACCAGCTACTCAAATTCTATGCTACACCTTTCGGATGTACTCGCAACTACAATTATTATTTCAAATTACCACACGAAAGTGAAAATGATCAAAACTGCCGGTAGGAAATCTATTTGATCGATCGCACAACCGTATGCCTCCGTTTGTTTTATCGAAAGATATCGATCGAAAGATAAGAAAGATGTGACGACAATTCTTAACGATATCATCCGACAGAAATTTGTGCTGTCGCGATGCAACGTGAAGAATAAGCAAAATTCATAAAATATAATTTCGATAAATATGCACTTCCTTTCCGGTAACTTACATTCTTGTACGAAAATCATTGCTGTGATTCAACACCATTTGTCCGGCATAGTTCACGAGGAAGAAATAAAACAGATGGACGCTCACACTTAATAGAGGGAAGAGATTTTCAGAAATTCCTTCCGCGATTACCGCCTGAAACAGCTCAGGTGCAAGACGCGTTTAGTTGAGTCACATTAACGTGGACTCGAATCGTTGAGATAAATTAGCGCTTTCGCGATTCGTGCGCATTATTAGCGGATTAACACACATATTAGCGATTAACAATGAAACAATTTCGTTAGAGAGATAAGAAAATTTTACTTACACGATACAGTGTAACAGTTAGAGACGCCACGCCGAGTAAAAGCAGAAATAAATACATCATTACAAAAGTATCCTTCATGAATTCGAAAAACCTTCAACAACGAGAAAATACATTATACGGATCATTCAATGTATGTGAATTTTATGTTGTATTTTCTCTCTTTTCCTCTCTCTCTCTCTCTCTCTCTCTCTCTCTCTCTCTCTAATATTTCAAAATAAGTTAATATATCGCGAGATATCATGGCCATTTGATATGTGTAAGTCATGAATTACACGATAAAAAAATACCGACTTGATCGCTCGTCTGTGAATGTCGACGGCGCCGACAATTCTGGCGCAAGCCGCGCAACATCTTCCAGAAGTTAAACTGTCTTGCTCGTTCTCATCGAAAGCATGTTCGATGCGATAGCTGAAAGAGCGAGGACCGTCTTAGAAACGAGGAGAGAAAATTTCGAGCTTAATATTGACGCGAAATTAATTTTTTCGAAATGAAATATTGTTATCGCGGTCACTCTTTCTCGATAACAATATTATAAATCCGTAATTGACAGTTTGCTTATGAAATCTCACGCGTAAGCAGTCGTTTAGCGTGAGCTTTTAAGTCGCGACATTTCGAACGTTTCTTACCTAGCTATTTCGAACATTCCGCACGCGTGCTGTATGTACGCGACGTATATGGATGTTGTGGACATGAGGATATTTTGAAGCACGAAAATGGCCACTGTCGAATACAGCAGAACAGTATAAAAGTATTGATCAATATCGACGAAGTACTCGCACATAATTATGAGATGATGCGGACGAGACTGATTAAGCGGCGCGACGAAATCCAGTAGATTCGGTATGAAATGTATGGAACCGAATAACAGCGGGAACGTATAGGCGACCACTGCAATTATTAACATGAGTTTATCATCGAACGGTGTGATAAGATTAAAGACACATGACGGTATACACTAAGACAGTTATGTAAGCAGCGGTTACGAGATAATACATGGAAAAAAATAAAGTCGTAATATATGAACACTTACAAAATATTGCTACTTTTTTGCCGCAAGAGCAAATTCTTTTCGTACAACAGTAATATGTTTTAGTAACTTGATATTATGTTGATTTCACAGCAAAAAAATTTGCTGCTGCAGCGAAAAAAGTTGCAGCAATGTTTTTTAGATGTCCATATATTACAACTATTTTAGCTGCAACAAACAACTTTTTTTCTGTGTAGCAGATAATGCGACACATAATTGACGGTCGAAAATTAACTATCATGATCGCACGTATAAGTCAGACGCATTGAAAGGAAAGATTTCCTTCGTCAATTCGGGATTTCCTTGATTAATTTGAGACAGTCATCTTTACGTTTCCCGCGGCTAGATTCGCGATGCGAGACTCGGTGAACCAATAACTCTCGAGGCAATAAAGCGGGCTCATAGTATTGACATTTAACGCCAAGTAGCGCGATGAAGTCTTAATAAAGCTCCCTCGCTAGTGCCTTACGTGCAAACACCCGCGCGTAAAGCGCTCCCGTGCGAGTATACTTATGAATGATCTTATACTCCATTTCGTTCCTCAGCGTCTTCCAGTCGTACTTTATCGTTTTCATTAACTCTCTCATCTGCGTACACAAAATGCGTTATTCCTGATATGATGCCGCTCAACATACTCTTGTGTAACTATTCCTGTCACTACACAAAAACAAGAAGAGAAACTAATAGTTCAGAATTAGAAACTTTTATTTGCGACCTTTTGAACTTACAGGTCAAAAATATCGCCTCCCTCAGCAGGAATCTGATTTTTGTGCTGAATAAACATTTACTTCCACCAAAAAATCAACATTCCATCCTAAAGGAGCGAGATAAAAAATTTTTATTTGCAAGATTCGAAAGCTCGCAGATAGCACTTGATTCTGAACGATTCTTTTTTGTTTCCGTGTAATCGGACGGCTAACTGCAAGAGTTCGTCTACTAATTCATAGATAAATCTGTTATTTCAATTTTTACGTTGCGATGTCGACTTACCGATTCGGTTTTTATGCAATACACGACGTACTTCAGAATGACGATCAGGGAAGGTATCGCGTAAGACAAAACCTCGAGCAGAAGTTGTAGATTAAATTCGAGTGTGACAAGTGGGAGTAACTGAAAGTTGCTCGATATCAGTCGCGTCAATTAAAAAAGAATGGCGATGAAGCGTAATACGACTCGGGGGATCGGCCGGATCATTCTCGTTCGCTGTGTATTAGGTTAACGATACCTGCAGCGTTGTGTTGGTCGTGACGCAAGCAAAATAAAAAACTCTTTGTATCCGAGTGAACCACACGTTTTGATACGGCCATAAACCGACGGACGACAACATCACCCGATTAATCGTGTAGTATCGACTGCCGTCGAAGTCCATTTTTGCGGCACGAATGACGGTGTATTTTTGACCGGGACGCGAGAGAGAACACGGGAGCGATCATACTCGCTTCATTATGCATGACAATATGTGGTGTAGCAAAAAAATAGAGAGAAAAAGAAAATAGCAGAGTAGTTTGCGGAAGGTGGACCATAAAGCGGTTATTACGGATATCGCTCGGCGCGGCGTGTGTCGCCGAGAAATAGCGGTGTAAATGACATAATTAAAGAAATTACGGCGAGATAGCGCCCGGTGTTCTTTCCCTCGCGCTGTAAAACCGCGACGGTACTTTCTTTATATCTGACGCGGCCACGCAAGCGCAGGAGTCACGCGCATCTTTCGGTCAGTCGACGAGTGCATTTCCGCAGTCGATCTCTGTGATGTAACTTGTATGATACCGCAGACACATCCGGACTCGTGAGTAACAGTTGCACATAAGACACGATGCGCAAGATGTGTATGCGACGTTTTACATTCCGTTCAACTCTCTTTTCGTAGAGAGTGGACTCTCTCGTGGAATTTTCCGAGTAAAACGCGCTGTTAGAATTAATTAATTGCGATGATTGGGTTGTGCATGCACGGTATTTTCAATTTTGCTCGCGGACACCTAGACTATATTTCACTTTTTATAGGGCAGAACTTTTTTCAAAGGTAGTGACTTATTACAAGTTTATATAATATATCTAGATATCTAGATACCAAAAAATGTGTGTTGCTTCGAAAAAAATCGACCACTGAATGTTGAGTGTAAAACAATAGACATTTTAAACCTTACGTGAGATGATTAAAATATCGATCACAAACTTATAACTGGTTAATCTTATTTTACAACCGTACTTGTACATTCGCGACCAACATATCGCTCAGCATATTACATCGTAGAAGGCGTTTTTAAATCACACATGTGTATAATATATACGTGTATATATATATATATATATATATATATATATATATATTGTATTGTGTTTTGTTTAGTACATCTAATTTTGCACATATTTTAACTTCGTCATCACCAGATAAGATCCGATCGTTTTTCATTGTCACAAGCGCTAATGTACTCATACTAACGGGCGATTTCATGCATTGGGTGTTGGCTCGTCGTCGTAAGTTACATTTCATTTGCGAGTCGAGTATATAACCATACAATAAGACAACGACATACTGATTAGCTGAAACAAAAAGTTTCTCTTGTATTCTCAACTTTACTTGCGACAACAATCGCGACTCTCATTGCTATCGTCACAGCTCGAAGATACGCATAAACTCAACGTTTTGTTCAATGATAATATCACTCGTTAATGTGAGGCAATAAATTAAGAATGTGATAAAATGTAATAAGAGAAAGAAACAACTATCTTTGCGTCAAAGCGAGACAAAAATTATATTCAAACACATTTAACTAATTCATATTTTTCGCGCTTTTTGATACAACGCGTATACAATTTCATATTACCGTGGCGAAACCTTCTAATGACGTAACAAGCAAACTTCCGATGATGATCCTGCTGGTCTTCATGCTGCGTTGCAATATGACAAATAATAGTTTTTGAGCGTGTACCGGTGCTGTGCACCACTGTGCGTTGCATCTGAGTATTAATATATGGTAGGTCAACAATTTGGCATATTTTTCCAAGAAATCTTTCGCGATTCTTTATCATAATGAGTTATCGAAACTATCACTGATATACCTACGATTACTATTGACATAATTGAAAGAATATGCACAGGATATTCTTCCTAGACGTGAAAACTGCGAGTGTGTACTCACATTTGTTGAAACAAATATTCACTATGATTAATTAGATCCTGGCCGAAATAGTTGAGCCAAAAGACATAACAGAAGTGAGCGTACACGAATAAGCCGCTCGTAATAATTTCGGACATGTTGTTCATCGTAAGCGCCTCAAAAAGCTGTGGACGACAAATCCAATGACGATTGTAAACGTGAATGCGCCACTTGTAACGTGCAAATTTTTATGCGTATGAAACGATTAACTTCGTGCTATTTCAGAATTATCACTCACACGAAACATATTAACGCTCAAGGACGCCACGCCTAATACGCATAAGACGAAATAGGACGATGCGAATTTATTCTGTATATTATCCATGAATCTTGAAAAGTTAAGAGAATAATTTGCATTATAAAAGTAAAAACAGATGGGTTACTTACTTACTAATGACGACACGCAAATCAAACAAACAATGCTCTGTTACTCTCGGGAACAAGACTCTCTTGTACTTTAAAGTTGCAACGAGTAATTTTGCAGCAAACATCGAGTTTTACTTACTCCAAACATTGCTGGTGAACGTTACAAGCGCTCAACAATTTGATGCAAATTCGGCATTTGTTTTTCGAGGGTGTTCTCTCCGGCAAACATTTGTCGAACGCGCACGTTACGCGGTGACTGCACAAAAATACAAATATCTTTTTACATCATTTGAGAGATAAAAGATTAAAATAATAAAAAGAGAGTCGAGAAATTCACAAAGTCGTCATAATCGTAATACGATTAACACAGAAAAGCATTTACAAATGTTAAAAAGTGTTAAAAAGTGTTAAAAAATGTATTAAGTAAGAACACGGAAGAAGAAGAAGTTTGGTTGAATTCAATCAAGTTCCATTTTTTGTATGTGTTATTTATATATAGATTTAAAATTTTCTCCTTCCTTTAACAATACAGTGGTGCACGCAATTATAAAACATTTATTTGGAATTAGATGAAGAAAACAAAAAGAGAAATTAAGCAAGATATTCGAAATATTTCATATTTTTTACCTGACGATCTCAAACAGTCCACAAGCGTGCTGTACAAATATCATAAACATATTTTCCGTCGCCATGAGCACCGTCATACCCACAAAGCCAGTTATCGTAATAACAAAGTAATAAAGATAGAAATATTTCTGTTGGTCGAGAAAGCATTCTACTTGTATCGGAAATTTTCGTGGACGTGGCTTATCCATCGGCACCACAATATCGAGCAGAATCGGTACGAATATCGTTGAAATAAAAGCGAATGTTCCCGGATAAACTATCGCTGGAAACATTAAAATTTTGCAGACGATGCTTAAAACGAAGGCGGAGATTTTTATTATTCGCGTTTCTAGAAATTCGACAAATTTCATCCTCATATATCTATCTGATTATCTCATTCCATTTTCTCTATAATGAGTAATGCAAGTGCGGTGAAAATTGTGCGATAAGAAAATGTATTTTGTTTCACTTACATCCGGAGAAAATCGTGTAAAACCTCATCTTGTTCGCATATTTCTGTAGTATTTTCAATTCGTCCACATTTTCGATTAAGTTCCAATGATCTCGAATTTGATTAAAAAGCTTCCTCACCTGTGATTACAAGCAACGAGTGTCTAAAGTGACGAACGCACTTCTCCCAGGATACAATTGCTAATTCATCTTCCGATGTTCACTCAATTGACTTACGTGATCCGTTTTGAAATACACTATATTATATTTCAGTACATAAACTATACAAAGGATATTAAACGATAAAACCTCGATCAGCAGCGATGTAGTGTATTCATGCGTGATGAACACTGCGAACTGAAAAAACAAAGAGAAAAAAAAAAGAGAAAAAAGGATCTTGACATAAATCAAGTATAATTTAATCTTTCGCGCGTAGCATTAACGTGAAATTATAAACGTACAAAAATCCGTGTTTTATAACTTATAAGTGACTAGATTTTAATAACAAAATCCGCACGAAACGTCGTGACGCTATCTTATGATTCAATTTTGACAAAAATTGTCATCACTCGCGAATCCCGGGGTTCACAATTTTACTCAATTAGCGCAAACCAATTTCAGCGACTTCGCCAAGTCGCATTTCGCTCCACGCGAGTTTTTCTCTGCGAATTTAATTATAAAAACAAACAGCACGTCTCTGTGAGCGGTCGCGAACGGTGGCCGCGAATACATTGTCAAGTCGAGTACGATCGGAGACACCTGAGCTAATATGGACTCAATGAGAACGACAGTCACGCAGAGCAGCCGGACAATTCGGCGTCCCGGCGTCTGGTAAGGCCACAGGCCGAGCGACACCATTAGATGTCGGGTGAGTCCGTGATACTCATTGTCGAAGAAATCCATTCCGATCACCGGTCGCCGTGATTTTACGCACGCACATTCGCGGGCATTACTATGCGGCCAGATTGCCCCCGTCGGGATATTTTATCGGCTCTTACAATCTCGCTACGTTCATTTTCCGCATCGTAACGACGATAATAGACGGCATTACGGGAAATCATATGCCGGAAGGGCAATTTGTGAATTAACTCACGACCGAGCGGTCTTTAAAGTGAAATTAGATGAGTCATTTGCGACTATCGCGCTGCATAAGCCACCGAGACACCGCTTGCAGCGCAAAATTACAAGCAAATTGCACGTTTGACACGGGCACCGCTGTTGGTTTTCCCTGAACGAGCAACGACACAATACAATCGCAACGTGTCTTTACGCACGCGCCTGGATATCCCTCATCCCGATGGCCGTTCGCGTGGTAAGACCGTCGCGTGTTGCTTCTTTTTCCTTTCAGAAGACACGTTTCGCGACCGTATTCGTCGTTACGCGCGTCCACTATGCGCGGGGAAACAGACTAATCGCGCAACCAGCTTACGCGATAACAGCAGATAACACCAAACGCCAGTTAGATAAGGTGCGTGAAGAAGTTTGATTAGGAATATGATGCATGTGAGTGTGAATGAACGGCAGCGTGTGTGTGTGTGTGTGTTTGTTTGTCTGTTTTCGAAAGGAATTTTACCGAGGAAAAGAGAGGAATTTGATTATTGCGACAAACGGCGTTACAGCACTTTTACATCTCGTATCATAATTCGACGCGTTGAGATTATCGCGACGACAATGACGTAACTCTTGTGAACGAGTCTCGTGCAGAAACAATCGTCGCGTCGTCTTGTGACTCGCGAGACACGTTTACATATTGTGGTTCATAAACTGATATAAATAAGATCGCAGTGGTCGTGATATTCGTCGCTTTTAACGACTGAATTATATTTTTTTCCGACTAGACAATCGGCTATGTTGATACGCGATGCGCTGAATATAATTTGAGGCAAAGAGCTCGGTAATGAAATTAATTAAAATGAATCTCCGGTATCGTCGCTATCGCGTTTATATTCGTCTATGATCTCGTGGTCCGCGTTACATTCAAAACGAGTGCAGCATCGTGAAGTAGGACACGTTAACGAGCTGAAAAAAAGCAAAATTTGTGCCAGTTAAACCACGAAATCCTCTCTGTCGCGTTGTACATTTAATAGTCGTCGCGATCAACTATTACCGAGGCGAAACCTTCCATCGACGAGGCCATCGGACCGCCGAACGTGTTGAAAGTTCTTATCGAGCGTTGCGTATGACGAATAGTAATTTTTGAACGTGCACGAGTGTCATGTACCATCGTGTGCTGTACCGACGCATTTTGACAAAAATGTACTTTATTGCATTTTAGTCTGCCTTCTAATTTTGCGATGGTAATCTCAATTGCATGTATACCAAATAAACAAATACATCGGCGAAATATTGTTCTGTGTAAAAATTGTGGGCAAGTCGTTAATCGGAACGATTTATTATTAGTAAGTGAAACTGCAGCTGCTTCGCAACGTTTTTAATGAATTGCTATATAAACATCAAATTCTTGACGAAAGTATATCACAGAGACGTTCCATGTCTCTGTTGAATTAAAACAATGAAGGTGATAAATACTGCTGTCGCGTGCCATGTGATGAAATGAGAGAAACTTTGATCATAGCAATCGATAGCATTCGTGCGGTAGACGATCGCAGTAGTCCTTGTTACAGATTACGTCTGAGTTGAATAGATGAGCATACAATACGACATTGACATGCTGACGACCTGCAACGAAATTTGCGTGTTGAATGTTACCTACGCCTGACGTACCGTTGTGTGAACACTCATTCTTCTTAATATATTGACACGTAAAGGAAACGTTTATACCGTGGCGAAGCCTTCTAACGAATACACGAATATATTACCGACACAGAACGAGACGTTCTTCGCGCTTCTGTGAAGTATGAACAGTATCATTTTTTGAACATGTGAAGGCGCTGTGTACCATTGTGTGTTGTACCTAAATGGAAACGAATAATTCCCCGTATCCGACAATGACAAGTATTCTGATCTTACCAGAATTAGCTACGAGTTATTCACATACGTCGCGTATTATACTCACGTTTGTACAAACAACTCGGCACTATTGTCAATCAGGTCCTGACCGAAGTAATTGTTCCAAATTATATAACAGAAGTGAGCGTAAACGAACAGGCCGATGTGGATCGCTTCGTTCAGCTTGTCATTTGAAGCAGCGTGTATGAACTGGGACGAAAGAACAACCGCGATTCGCCCTAATCAGAAAGAGATCATTGCGCAGCGACGTTACCAAATGTTTACTTACTCGAAATAGATTAATGCTCAAGGAGGCCACCGCGATACTGCACAAAATAAAGTATGAAACGGAGAAATTGGAGCTCAAACATTTGATAAACCTTAAACGATAGAAAGGAGGTTACACGTGGAATCTTTCGTCTAAATATAATGATAATTTAATTGTCGATAATTTGATTTGTATAAATTGAAGAAGTGAATTTGCACTGAGAAAAATCATCCGATAAAAAATTAATAAACGGATATTTCCGATCAAAATATCGATGAATTTTTCTTATCCATCCAATATATCGATTCATAATTTTTTGATCGATTTATCTGATAAAATGCCATTATGATCGGAAATATATATTAAATTGGATATCCTGGAAAAATTTATTGATATTTTGATCGGAAATATCCTTTTGTTAATATTTTATCAGATAATTTCTCTCCGTGTGCAGATATACGTAACAATTTTCTGGCGAACTTTAACTAACGCGTAGATGCACATACGCTTATTTAAAAGATATCATCCAATACAATTGTTTACGACGCATCACGTCGCTTAAGATATGTTTAACGACAAGCTCGCATATATATTACGCTGTATGAGTCATCCTTAAATTGGTCGATACGTACTCCAGAGATCGTCTGTGGATCTTGACAGCGCCGCACAATCTGACGCAAATATTGCATTTTGTTTTAGACGTGCTCTTCTGTTGCGAGCGATCATCGAATGCGTTCAATATACGGTGACTACGGCAACATCGATAGCAAATTTAGAACTACTATTGACAGACTGGAACCGAAGATGACACGCGCGAAACGCTTAACAATGACGAATGCGATTCACCTGGTAAGTTGGAACAATCCGCACGCGTGTTGTATGCATATCATGTACAATGTTTCGGCGGCTAGTACCACGGTCATACCAAGAATGTTGTATATCGCCAAGTACAAAATGATAATGTAGAAATATTCCTCCTGATCGACGAAGCACTCGATTATGAATGGTATATTATGGCGCCGAGGTTCGCTCAACGGCGCGATAACATTGAGAAAGTCCGGCATGAAGAACAACATAAAGAAAAACAGGCTGCCGGAATATACGATGACTAAAACATAAATCAAATGAATGTGTGGATATGCATCAGTTCTCTTAAAAAATAAGGAACATTGCTTGATGTTCCATAAACATAATCACGTTTCTTATTATGATTAGAAATAATAAATTTCTTGAGACTGTAATAAAACTATAAGTGAAAAACAAGACATATATGAACACATAAATATTTGCAAAACAAGAGATAATTAATTAATTTTGTTTCTTACACCCTCCAAAAAGAATATACAGCCTTCCTTTATTCGCATTTTTTTGTATTATTTCAATTTCCTCGGTGTCTGTTAAAGTGTGCCAATCGTATCGGATTTGTTCAAAAAGGTGTTTTATCTGCCAATCGCGCAGAATGATTTGCTGGTTAGTTTCATTATCGGTGTGAACAGAGCAATGATAATTCACTTGAATAAAGAGATAATAAAGCGACACAGCGCGAGGACATTGTCAAAATTGCAACACCTCTGCACGATAATTTGCGTATCGAGGATGCCGCGAGCGCTAATCAAAATCAATCAAATGTTTGTTCAGCAATGGTTAATTACTACAATACTACAATTACTACAATATTTCATACGTGCGTTGCTGACGATTCTGTCTCGCTGTTGCGGAACAGTTTTATCGACTGAACTCACTTGCTCCGACTTGAAGTAAATCGTATTATATTTGAATACATAAACAACACTGACTAAAGTGGAAGAGAACACTTTGATAAGGAGATCCATACTGTATTCGGTTGTAACGAAGCCCATCAGCTGAAAATAGATTGCCCAATCCGTCCTCCATCGTTTAACGTTCATTTCTTGATATTACTTTGAGTAACGTGCAAGTGTTCCGCGTGTAATTAAAATTTCAACATTTTAGAGCGACTCAAACTCATTCTGCGACAGGACCGATATGTCACGAGACCAATTCGTAAAACCAAATGAGTCTGTTGACATCGTAAAACCGACATTAAAGATAAGTTTTTAAGCATGATGAAACCAATAACGAGTTGTCTGCAGCTTATCAACGAATAACAGGTATATTGTAATTGCACACTTTCAATCGATTTACTACAAGCGAGATCAAAGGCATAAAAACTTGAAGCAATTTTGCCTGGAATATAACTCGAGTAGACTTTTAGAAACGCATACCTGCATCATTAGACCTTGCAGCAAAATAAGACACATCAGAACCATTTGAAACCTTCTGTATCCTATCTTTTGATAAGGCCACAGACCGACCGACGACATGACAAGTCGGTTGATATTGAAGTAACGGGTATTGAATAGGCTCATTTTTTCGTTCGCGCGACGAAATGAAACTGCACAAATATCACAAAAATCTACATAGATTCGTAAACTACTCCCTTTTCTCCTTCCTCTCTGCAAAAACTATTATCAAACTCTTGTCTTTCCGTAGTAAATTTGCCGTTTAGATCCATACACCGCGTGAAGGTAACAATACTATTTAGAGATTATTGTCTCAATTGAGAAATTTTTCGTACTCTTTTGCGAGAAAAACGGAGAGAGCGTCGATTGCCATAATTTTTTTTCTAGCGCGTCTCTTAATTTTCGCTCTCACTACTTCTCGGAAAAGTAGTGAAAAACGGCGCGAGAATAAGAAAATTGTTCATTATTGCGACGTATTATCGCCACAATGCCGTGGAGTAAAAGGGAACGCATTATTGAAGATTGCTCTTCCCCTCTTTCAGTTCGCGCATGCGTTTTCGCGACTCGCTCTCGTCTCGTGTTCGACGAGAGTATCATTCACGATTGGACAATCGGCCGGCACATTTGCCATTTCTATCTGAGAAACGCTTAGGATCGCGTAGCAACGACACGCTAGGATTATTTCGGTGCTCGACAAACGTTTAGTGAGTATATCGTCTCTACGGGAACGATAAGGATCGTAAAGCGCGCAACTGGGAGAAAGAAGCGTGTGACAAAACCCGCGAAGATTCTACGCGTCCTTTTACCGCCTTCCACTAAGCTTTTACGACTCGCGAACACTGGTCCCTCCTAGTAAATTTCCTTAGCCATGTTTTCCCGCGAAACGCCTGCGCGCAAACAGCCCGCACGTGTACGCGCGCCGCAAGGAAATCCCGTGAAACATTCAGAGAGCCTTGTAAAACTATCGCCAAGTCGAAGTATCATTTTCGCGTATCTCATCCCCTACCTCCGCGGTTCGCGAAACTCGGGCAGTCCCAACTGTCGGTACGCTGTTTCCGCTATAAGTTATCGGGGCGCGCGATATACAACGCCGTGCACGCATCCTCGCGAGGAAATCTCGATATTTCATAAGCGCCCTCACAAACCCGACAGAATAAGAATTCGCGAATCCCGCCTCGGGTAAAGACGAGTCGAGGCGAACACAGACCAGTTTGGCGAAACAAACGAATTATTTTTGCCCCGTAAGAACTGCGCAAAGATGTTGATAGTGAATCATTTCTTAAGCTTAAGATCGAGAAAATGTCACGATGCAACAGATCGTCGATGTTATTATCCTCTCATGAAACAATTACTTGCTATTAACATTCTTATTGGCCAAAATAAATTCGCAGTGATTGAATAGCCTGAATACAATTTCGTTTAATTGTGCACGACTCGTGCATTCGACATTGCACACAGCGGCTTCCACGGATTTCCGCTGAAATTCCCCGGGAAAACTAATTCGCGTTCAGCGTTAAGGAGTTTGTTCATCAGGTACGTATTCTTAGGACGCTCAAGAGGTGTATTTTCAGCGGCGCATTAAGGGAGCTACTCGTGAATTTATTACTTGTCGAACAAAATTACGCTTTTATATATCTCTCTCACTATTTAAAAATGATAAATTCAAACGGTGCAGACAAGTCGCGTAAAACATTCAGTTACGAATGTGTTCGATAGATGTTACGTTAAATTTACATGTAAAATTATTAAACTACTAACTTATTAACTACTAAATTATTAACAATTATTAAATTTACATGTACAAAGCATTTTGGTTGAATAAACTCCTAAAGTCGGCGCGACCCGTTTACAGGTGGCGGGCTCTGATAAAACTTTTCGGGACGACCATTGCATGACGGTCGTGTGCAACGTCGTTCAGCCACGCGTGCGGAGAAGTACACGTTGCACGCGTGATGGCGCATACACAAAACGGGACGGTCCAGTGATGTATGCCTCTCTTCGGGGCGCGCTTCACAGCTAGCGCTATGCGCTAGCTGTGTTAGACGAAGCTCCGCCGATGCACTACGTGCATCTCGTAATATCTCAGCATCATCCACCCTTCCTTCCTGCCTCGCTCCCATACTATAGCCAGGCATGCCCGCCTGCCTGCATCCACCCTCTGTCCTTCCGAGAACCTAGCTACATACTCACAGAGTACAACCTACTCTCTGAGTCTACGAACAGCGAACGCGTGGGCGTGCATCGATACGTCGATTCCGTGAACATACGTTCGTTCTTCTGGCCGGATAAGTCGATTGCTGTTACCGGATGCGTGCGAACCATTGGCCCCGCAGCAAGTCAACAAACGAAAGAATGCGAACGATGGAACGCGACGCGCGTGTACACATCAGGACGCTTCGGTGCGCTCCAGCAAGGGGCGGGAGGTATTGTGTACTTTTTTGTGTACTTCCCGTTACACGCGGAAGATACTTGAAGTACGCGCGTCGTGCGTCTGTCGTCAGTTTGGCCTGTATCCTTAAACTTTTATTATCGACGATCTCGTGCGCGCTTTATAATTCGTCATCCCTCCCTGCGATCGATCGTGAAACGTTGACGCGAGAGGCAGGGCACGAAATAATCCTGAGCTGTCCCGAAATAAATCGCGGCACGCGGACGGATCCGGCTGAGGATTTATCAAAAGTCACCCTCTCCGCGTCGCGAAATCCCTAAGACGGCAATCCGACCAGTCGATTCGCTCGCTTATCGTTCGATCATGGCGATGTAGCGATAAAACCGGTTACGAATAGACATCGGCGATTATAAAAAGAGCAACAATAGCCAAACACGAAACTGTGGAAGTGGCGGAGAGGGAGAGAGGGGGAGAGAGAGAAAGGGAGACGGAGATCGTCGGGAGTAGGCGTACCGGAGTCAATACCGAATCGATAAATTGCGATGCTACTTTGAGTCACCCTCAGAGCTCTCTTACGGAGCTCCTAGCCAGCTCGATTTATACGATACGGAGGAATGATTGTTCACTGCAACGGCCGCATCACGATGATCGATCGTTGATGTTTCGCGAATATCGATAGTCCCGTACGCGGCGTTTTTAACACGCTCGCGATTCTCTCGCGTGATCTCGCAAGTACGGAGTCGCAAGGGCTTGCAAAAGTCTGGAGAAAAGTTCTTGGTACGGTTTGACGCAAGTTTCTATTCAAAAAAGCACGAAGCGTTAATTATTATTTGTTACTAGACTCATCTCGAGTCTTTCCACGAAGGACTCGCGCGCGACCGTTGCTTTCAAAAGTCGAATACTCTTTGGTTCTTCGCGGAAATTGCGAAATAAAATTGCGTTATTCTTTTTTTCTCTTTGTACAGCGACCACGATTTTTACTTGACGAAATTAAAAACTACGCAACTCTCAAATACACGCGCACAGACACGTATATGCGCACATAGACAAGGAGCAGCCCGCGACCGAAAATGTTTTTCGCAATATCACAAGCTTACCGAAAGCGCGGATGCATGTGCTTGCTGCATGCGACGTAAATGCAGATGCGAGTGCTGTAAAGCCACGCTTTGATGGCCTGTACTATGCTAAAGCCTCGCAAATATTGCCGCGATATCACTGTCGGGCTTTACGGTAATAATTCAATAAGGAAGTGGATTGATGGCTCAGCGAAAAATCTCGTGGAGAAGAGGAACGACGCGCCTCCACGAAACATCTTCGTCGTAATCGCAAGAAACACGCCAATTTAATCGGAATTTCACACTTTTTCTCGGCTTTCTCTTCTTGTTTCTTCAATGATCTCTCGGGAGAACGTGGCGTTTTGCATCGGCAGCGACATCAACGCCGCATTGTATCGCACAAAACGCGTGTACTCGCGCGCGCGCGTTCTTTTTTCCCTTCCCTTCCCTTATCCCGCACGGTTGTGCGTATATTCGCGAGAAATGGTGGCGTCAGGTACTGGATTTGGTGGCCGGTGTGTGGTACCTTCCGTTCTCCTCACTCTCTCTCTCTCTCTCTTCCTCTCTCTGTGCGCGCCTTCACGGCGCGGCGCATAATACGCGACGTGATTCTTCGTTTTATACTTGGAGCGGTTAGGCCCCTTCGGATGCAGCTTCCTTCCCGAATTTATCGCCCGTCCGAATCGCGGACGAGTCCATATAACCCGTTCATGATCTTGGTTCCCACCTAGCCGGTGCAAAACCTGTGCGCTCGCGCTCACGCTTTCATTCTTGTATAAATCTCATTGAAGGCAATATATTGCACGGTATTCCTTTGGCCCGCTCGGCTCATATCGGCCATTGAAATTTATTTCGCTGACCAGACGCGGGTAAGCGAGATGAATCGTTGCCGTTGCCGCCTTTTAATTTCGTCCCTTATCGTTATTATTGAACGCGCGCGCGCGCACGCGAAATATCTACAGCATGTTCTCCCCCGTTATCCTCGTTCTTCTTAGATACTAGTCATAATTATAGTTCCGGGATATTTCGCATATGTAATGACGTAAAACACGTTAGCATCTCGGTTAAGATTGAAGCTCGAGACGTTAACATCTACCGGTGAATACTCCAATAAGTTCTCTTCTCACACATGACGCCTGCTTTTGATATATAGTTATAATATGAACCAACGAAGAACCAACGATTAAAGAGATTAAAATACGTGACAAGAACAGAGCAGCTCTCTCTCTCTTAAAAATTCACATCGTTTCAAGGTGAAATCTAATTGCGAAGTTTTCATCAGGTGATTTTGATATATATAATTATAATCTGTTAACTTTCGATTAGAGATATGAAGACACACATGACACACACATCCAGTGGCTCCTAAAAATTAAAATCGTTTCCGAAAATAATTTCGCGTAGCTAGATTATCGCATAGTACGTATATCACGATGAGATTTAATTGCGAAGTCCGCAAAGATCCTCGCAATATTTCACGAGAGGCGCGGACAGAAACGAACGTGTCGCGGAACGGAAGGGTGAGGGGGCGAGACGAGCGGGAGTTGTATCTAATGTTCCTTGACGTAACTTTGCGTCTCCTGCAGGCGAAACGACACCGCGGAAAGAGTTTCTGGTACAGGCTCGTGAAACAATAGGCATAACTTCCAACACGGTTGACACGCCGGTTACCGCAAGCCGAAAGCGGCTAATACGGCAAGTTATCCACTTAGAAATCCAACGTAACACCGAGGAAGAGAAGAGTTCTAGGGGGCGGGCGGGGTCGGAGAGGCCGGGAGGCCGTTACCAACTTCGGATAAACCGGGCTAAGTTTCCTGGCTCTTACGGAAGTGCCACCCGAAAACGACCGAGTTTATTCTTCCCGCACGCAACGACAGAGAAATATCGTGGGCATCGATTTACATAACGATTAAGTTAATTAAGCGCTTAAACGTGTTGTTTGCCCTGGAACTCTCTGGGAAAGTAATGTATCTTCGGGAGCTACTGATTCTCGTACTTTCGTGGCGGAAGAATGTTTCCGCAAGATAAATATGTATCAGGGCCACGCGCGAGACGCGAATAAAGGGAAGAGTGGTGGATTTTTGCAATCGTGCCTTACTCCTATTCGATTTTTGTCACGCTATAAATATGTACCGACGATATTCGGCGATTCAACAAGATCCAACATTGGGTTTTGTTAGTCCGCGAGAATATCCGCGATGAGTGGATACGTGGATTGTTGAGTAATTTTGAAACATCAATTTATCAAGCACGGAGGTGAGAATATTTTCACGATATTCCATGTTGTGGACTTGAACGGACAATTCACGTCGCATTAAAACGGTCGACCGTTGATATTTTATCGAAAAAATATTGGACCTGGTCTCGAGGATTTGAGATATCTCGGTGTACACCCGACTTCCGAAGATAAGATACTCGTCCTCTATCAAGGTCGCAGCGCCAAAGTGAACGCTGGCAATTTTCGCGGGATTATCCCGGGAATCTCTTTGCGGGAGTTAGTCTACTACGAAACTATAAAAGAATTCTTACGTAACACCCCGCCATTCTTCAACTTATCTCACCCACTTACCTCGTACAACACCGACTACACTCGGCGTGAGCATTCCTCTCCCTCGAATTAAGAACACTCATACGTCACGACCAGAATATCGTGCACTTACCTTACGTGTCTCCGAGCGATGTCATTCACTCTTTTATTATATTTTATATACGAATGGATCACGAGTCGCGGAAAAAAAATTCGAAGGGTGTCTTCGACGTCTCTTGGGAGCGTGACTTTCTTCGAGGCAAACACATTTCCGGGGTGTTCCGTAACGAAAATGTGAAGGGTGGGCGATGCGGGAGGAGAAATAGTGTATGCAGACGCGGGCCAATATCAAAAGTTCGCTTCCGTTGGGGCCCGTGGAAAGGAGGCGGTGACACGGCTGCGTCAAGTAAGTTGACTTACGACGAAATTGGTTTCGACGCGTGTCGGCGAATGTCGAACTTTCATCGTGATATCTCCACATAGGTAACACCTAAGTGGCATGGTACAGTAAGATATGCCAGAGGAGTTCGTTTTGAGTTCTAAGAAATTTTTCATGCTGTTCTTTTTTTCAATTTCAGGCTCCAGGCGCATCTCTCCTTCCAGAGTTAGAAGTTCAGCATATCCTTAACACCGACAATCAGTGCAGACGACAACGCAATGAGTAGAAGTGGCATAAAAATGATAAAAATCACGATTCGAGTATTGTTTACGTGTATATTTGCCGCAAAGCGACGATTGCCATCACGATTCTTTATGTAACGGGTGCAAAGTACGTAGATCGGTAAAATAAGCGCGTTAAGATAACGTTCACGTTATTAAAAATAATATACATGTAGCGTATATTTTATATACACACATTATACTGTATCACATATATTGTACAATTTCGTATTAAATTATAATTATATAAGAATAAAAATGAAGAATTAAAACTTAGACTAGAAGTAATTTATTTTTACTATCTCCAGGTATGTTATATCTTCCTGACACCAAAATGCGAGAAATCGGGAAATTAAAAGGAATTTGCAAGTTTCCAAACTTCCCGCCAAAACCCCGCACTACTTCACTCATTATACTCTCCCCTTATTAAATTACAAAAAATGTGATAAATCATAAAATTAAGACAAATTTTTCAAATATAAATGGTTTTCAAATAGTCCTTCAAATTTCCCACCGAAAAATCATGCTACTTCCTTATCCTGTTTTTCTGATATCAAATTGCGAAAAATCGCGATACAGAGAGAAATATCCATTTTCAGATTTCTTTCCAAATTTCCCGCCGAAAAATCGTTACCTCCTCGTTCATTATGTTTTCCTAATATTAACTGTGAAAAATCGCGAAACTGAGAAAAATTTGCAAATTATGTTTTCTTTTTAAATTTCCCGCCAAAAACTCCTGTTGCTTCTTCGATCATCATGTTCTCCTGATACCAGAATGTGGAAACCAGATTTTTCCGATTTCGAGGATTTATATTAGGAACATAGAATGTGCAAGGAGGTATTCCAAGTTCACGCCAAAAATTCGTGCTACCTCTTGGATCTTCATGTTCTCCTGATACCAGAATGAGAAAATCGGTAAACTTTCACCAATTTCAAGGATTTGTACCAGGAACATAGGATGTGCAAAGAGGTATTCCGAATTCCTGCCAAAACTCCTGCTACCTCTTGGATCTTCAAGTTCTCCTGATACCAGAATGCGAAAATCGGTTCTCCAATTTCGAGGATTTGTATCAGGAAAATAGAATGTGCAAGGAGGTATTCCAAGTTCGCGCCCAAAATTCGTGCTAGATTTCTTCAATTTTGAGGATTTGTATCAGGAACATAGGATGTGCGAAGAGGTATTCCAAATTCCCGCCAAAACTCCTGCTACCTCTTGGATCTTCATGTTCTTCTAATACCAGAATGCGAAAATCGGCAAACCAGATTTCTCCAATTTCGAGGATTTGTATCAGGAACATAGGATGTGCGAAGAGGTATTCCGAATTCCCGCCAAAACTCCTACTACCTCTTGGATCTTCATGTTCTTCTAATACCAGAATGCGAAAATCGGCAAACCAGATTTCTCCAATTTCGAGGATTTGTATCAGGAACATAGGATGTGCGAAGAGGTATTCCGAATTCCCGCCAAAACTCCTACTACCTCTTGGATCTTCATGTTCCCCTTATACCAGAATGCGAAAATTGGTAAGATTTCTCCAATTTTGAAGATTTGTATCAGGAACATAGGATATGCGAGGAGGTATTCCGAATTCCCGCCAAAACTCCTGCTACCTCTTGGATCTTCATGTTCTTCTGATACTAGAATGCGAAAATCGGTAGATTTCTCCAATTTCGAAGATTTGTATCAGGAACATAGAATGTGCAAAAAGGTATTCCGAGTTTGCGCCAAAAATTCGTGCTACCTCTTGGATCTTCATGTTCTCCTGATACCAGAATGCGAAAATCAGATTTCTCCAATTTCGACGATTTGTATCAGGAACATAGGATGTGCGAAGAGGTATCCCGAACTTCTGCTACTTCTTGGATCTTCATGTTCTCCTGATACCAGAATGCAGAAATTGATAACCAAATCTCCAATTTCGAGGATTTGTATCAGGAACATAGAATGTGCAAGGAGGTATTCTGAATTCGCGCCAAAAACTCCTGCTACCTCTTGGATCTTCATGTTCTCCTAATACCAGAATGCGGAAACAGGTAAACCAGATTTTTCCAATTTCGAGGATTTGTATTAGTAACATAGGATATGTGAGGAGGTATTCCGAGTTCTCACTAAAAACTCCTGATATCTTTTCGATCTTCATGTTCTTCTGGTACTGAGATACGAAAATCGAGATGCAAACGCAAATTTTGTAGAATTATGGGTCAGTAGGAGTCGAATAACAATAAATATATGATTTATATTTGAATAATAAATTTTATTTATCTTAGAGCTATAAAATATATACATATGCATAAACATCTACTGAACTACACATGTATTTATGTTATAAAGGATAACGTAAGATTTAATATTAATAGAGACAAATATATAAATATCGTAAATTTGATTCTATGTTTTTTTAGATTTTCCTATGTTTTTGAAGATTGTGATCGTAATTAAAGATCCGTTTTCATGTGACGTTATATGGCTAATTTAAGTCATTTTTGTATGAAGGAAGTACAAATATAGATTGAGAGTCTTATGAAGCTATAATTATATTCGTCAAATAATAATGTACTATAAATACTGACCTAAATTTCAATTCGGGGAAGAAATATCTTCTTGTTTGCGGTGATTTCGTTAAACGTCCGTTATAATAGGAAATATCCTGTTTAATAAATGATATGACACATCTAATAATACTCGATACATTATTGGCCATCTTCTCGCGTCTTGACCTGGTTTTCTAATTTCGTATCTTATTTGCTCCTTCGTGATATGTCGGATAATCACGGCACTGTCATTTATGTAAATACGATTAGAAACTGTAGCGCGCGGAAGCGAAGTAAACGAGCTGGACGAACGTAGTTATTATAATATTTTATGGTGTTTATTTTTTACTTAAAAGTTACGGTTGCAAACGGTGACTCGCGTGAAATGCACTCGCGTACAATACACGAGCAATGAGATCATCCATTTTCACGCGATCAATCTACGACTGTTGCTGCTCATCGCGTTGCCCTGCAGCGATCGTCGTAGTAAAGACGCGCTTGATCTCTGAATGCAAACCCTGGAGAGATAGATGCACTAGAAGCGTAGAAATAACGCGCTCATCTACACACATCTACACTCAGAACGAACTCCTTTAAGATAGCTCTCTGTGTACATCGCCGTGCCTTCGCAGCCACGGGCTGCGAAGAAAAGCCGCGAAAATTCCGCGCGTGAGGTACGTGCCGGAGAAACACCACTCGCACTTGCAATTTCGTCGAAATACAGAGGTTCATCCTGCGCGTTGAAAATTACCTTCCACACGCAAAAAAGCTTCAGTTGGTGCAACCAAATAGGAACCAACTAAAAATTAGGTGATCAGAAGCGATATCTCTGTTATGAAAACTAATATTTCTGTTGTCGCAACCGAAAATATTCGTCCGAACATTCAACGATATTAGAACTCGGTTGAGGCAACTGAGAACAATTGACTATATAGAAACCTCATAAAGAAATTTTTCTATTCCTACAGCCGAGTTTTCGTCTGATCCCTGAGCAACCGAAAATTCGGTTGGAGCGACAGAATTGGTTTTTCCATGAATATCGAACGAAACGTATCGCGCGAAATGTCAAATGTTATAAAAATAATGCGATATTAACGGAAAATCAATTTTTCCGAGCAATCAATACGTAACATATTAAGACGTAAATATTGAATATAACAAAAATAATACGATAATGATGTAAAATCAATCTCACGCGAGCAATTGATATGAAATTAATTAAAATTGACGAGAGCTACTTTATGATCTGCTACTTTATGATGTGCGCAAAGAAGATGAAGTTTGCGCATGGATAATACGTCTGACTCGGCGAGATCCTCTCACCGCGATCGACGTTCGCCAGATTCCACGGGATAATTGAAACGAACGCTCAGCGGATAATTTGCGAAGAGTAATGCGCGTGTTCGCGCTGAATCCATCGTTACAGCGCGAGCTTCACTCGCGTATAAGCGGCGGCAAATAAATACGAGGTCATGCGATTTATACGAAAACGGCACTTACGATATCGAAGTCCAGGTTCTCGGCGATCCAGTCGCGCCCTTGCTTGAACTCGTCGTGAAGACCCATGATGTAAAGGGTGTCGAGTCCGTCGACGATGGTCGCGCCCATGTTGGAGGCCCCGAAGATGCTGGCGCTGTGACCCCTCTTGGAGATCGGTCGCAGTTCGTTCTTTCCCCACGCGTACCGCACGTAGTTGTCCCAACCGTGCTTCATCATCTGCGTCAATCAAAAAGAAACAAGTGCAATTACTTGGCGCGCATCAACATTTCTTACTTTTACCATTACATTTTCTCTTTAAAGTATGTTCTTAACTAGCTTCGTGATCATGCATCATAACAGTATATCAGTCGTATGTCACAGTGGCCACTAATTTTGATATTATAAACGATACGCGTACCTTTCCTTCATAAGAAGGAATTATACCTTCAAGTATAAGAATTTATGTCTCGTGGAGAGGTTCCGGCATCGTGCGACGTCTTGTATTCATAATTAATCGCTCCACACGAAATATGTCTAAAATGTAGTTATCAGATGCCGACGCCGAGGAATTCGGTGTCCTCCCAGCGGGACTAACAGTATACGCGTGAGTCGAAGTAGCGAAGAGCATCGAGTCTCTAGGATGGCAGCTGTGAGAGCCGTCCTGTGAATAACAAATATATTGCCCAGCCCAGCCGTTCGTTGACCATTATTTCTGTTCCCCTTGATTTTTCGAGCCATTTGCCGGGCACCCGCGACCGCGGTCGCTTCATCACGTTTTTATGACGGCATTATTTAAGGGCAATATAGTATCGAGAGGGTCCGGCACCCTCGATCTCCTCTCTTCTTGGTTGTGGTAATAACAAGAAAAAGAGAGGGGAGACAGCGGAAATCAGAGACCGCGAAGAGCCGCGAGATTACGAGGAAACAGGAAGGATCGTTGCGTCGCCGTACAACTCGTTCTCGCGTAGATTGGATCTTTTTTCTCCGGCTTGTCGTGTCAATGAACCGCGAGAGGTGTTCAAACGGGGGTGAAACCCTACACGGCACATACGTTCGCGCTATTATTCCGAGACACTCCATCAAAAGCTGCTGATGCGACGAGAAAAATCCCTCGAGCCATAGATTACTGAAAAAGGGGTGATAAGTTCGTACAGAACCTCTCGGAGAGGGTGGAGTAGCCGCCGCAGCAGATCGAAGAGGCAGCGTGTCGCGACGAAGATGCGAAATTCCAAGGAGCGCGAGGAGAGGACGGACGATGAGCGTCGCGTTATTACGACGGCTTAAGGAGGGCGGCTTGGCGATGCGGAAAATTGTGGAGGATGATCGTGTGCGAGTTGACGGCGGCGGCGACGTCGCACCGTTCAACTCTTTCCGCCATTATCCGCGTAATCGCGGATAATTTGTTCCGTGGAAACCGCGGCGAATGCGCGGCACATGGTGGACTCGTGGCCGGTAATCTGGTTAACATCCATGTTAGGATTAAACCATTAGCCTCGGTGTCGGGGACCGACCGATCGAAAGGAAGACGATGAGGAGAGCGAGAGAGGCGACGCGCGGGGACAACAGAGGGATGACGAAAGAGGGTGCGAGGTGGACGGCGGCAAAACCTCGTGTCGGACGTGTGGCCTCGTTCAATTATTCTCTCTTTGTTACGTCACTTCCGCGGTAACCGGATTCTCCAGCCGGCTCGTCCGGAAGGACCCCGCTCCTTTTTTCGCTTTTGTAATCCAAGAGTAATCCATTAGAACCATTTAATGCGGTTAAGCAGTAAGTACCGGCGCGGGAGAAAAACACTTGGCACGGCGAACGTGCGAAATACGTGCGCGCTCGCTCGCTCGCGAGGGAGAGAAGGAGGGAGAGAGGTGTCTGTTTTAATCAGTGGTAGAATTATGCGCGTGAGGTTTATGTTTTGATTTATTCACACTCGAGGAACTCGAAACGTCGACGTGCCGACGTTGCACTTGGAGTGCGTTTGATAATTGGCCGAATGTGACCGAAGAAGGAAATTAAAAAGTGCCGTACATGACGTGGGACTTGGTGTTCTTCTCCGTGGGTCCCGAGTTCTCTTTATATTCTCCCTCTTCCTCTTTGATATAATATCTCCACCGAGATCTAAGAGAGTTCATTATACGTATAACTCTATATAATATAAAAACTAGTTCTCTCGAGTAAAAATGTCCCACACGCACGCGTCTGACTGGATGTCATTTAATCCACTAGCTTTTCGGCTACATCGCGCAAAGGTTGAATATAATTTTACGTTACTGTGTGCATTCATTAAATTCAATTGCACGGGTCGGGGAGAAGCGCGTATTTCCCGTACGTACCTCTCGTGAATGTCACGAGATCAAAAACCGCGTGGTCGCTGGCATTTGGCTACAGTTGAATTCCGCGCGATTTGACAGTATTTTTCTAGCGTCTAAACCGCGTCTCTAATTAATCCGCGCTCATGAATGAATTCATTATTTCACGTACATTACTCACGCGCAGGCAGGTTGCGGAGCATCGCGGACGATATGAATTTTGCAGGGCACTCGTGGGAGCTCTCGCGCGTTTTGAAAGCGAGAGAGAAAATATCCCTTCAAATTGCCTGCGCTCCACGCATTTCCATTAATAAACAAAATGCGCGCGCCGGTAGGGAGAGGAAAAGCAGCCTCGGCGAAAAGAGACTGAGGGAGATCGCGCGCGCGCGGGCGCGCTCCGTCGGCCGATTGAGTATGCATGGTACACAAACAAAGCAAAAGCTCGGGGGATACTCCGAGGGAGACGTACACACAAATGCGCATCGACTGCTCGCCGGGTGAACGTATGTGTGTGTGTGTGTGTGTGTGTGCGTGCGCGCGCGCGCGCGCGCGCGCGCGGGGTGTATCGCCGATACTGGCGGCACGTATAAGTGTACTTAACCGTGGCGCTTTTATTTCCTCTCTTTATTTCCCGCGGTTTTCAATTTACGTTATTTATTGCCCTCCACGACCGTCCCAGTCGCGTCCCGCCGCGTCGGCGTCCCACCGTGATTTTGTGAAAGCATACCAACCCTCCGTCAACGTGCGAGCGCGCACGTACAGACACACGTGTGGACGCAACACATGTGGAGGCGCATAGGCGCACATCAAACGCGCGCGCTTTCCACACCGACAACACCGACGCGCGGCTCCTGTACACACGATATCCTTTTTTACCCGCGCCATGGTGAACCTGTCGGAGGATCGACGTCACGAAGCCCTTTAAAAACGTTCCGCGCTTGTCATAAAAATCTAACCGCGCCCGGGCAACGTCACGTGGAAAGAGGCGAATTTAGTTTACGCGTTGCACCTCTGCGAGGAAAAGCCGATCGCGACAGATAGACAGAGAGAGAGAAAGAGAAGTTAATATTTAATAGAGGGACAGATAAGCGCACGCCAAACTCACCGAAGGAAAGGAAGAAAGAGAGCGCAGAGAAGAAGAAAGACGACAAGGGTGGTGCGCGGGGAAATGAAGTTTCGCGCGAAAGAAAAATCCTTTCCCGGATTGAAATTCTCAATTCCAACTTTCAGACCCGCCCGGTGCGGTTTCACCGCGCAATGAGTGCAGAGTTTCACTTCCAACGATCTTTCAGCGACTTGAATCGACCCGGCCAAGTCGCGCTGCTCTTCGCGTGAGTCACGTGCGCGTCTTCCGCGTGTGTACACGTACTTTGATATCGGAATGCACACCTGAGACGGCGCTCTCAGGTCGTCACGGCGGAACGCGCTCAAATTACGAGATCATTACCGGGAGTCTCGTTAAAGCGCAAATACGGTAAGAGTGTGTCGTCTCCACGATGTCTCCGCGCGGTTGGAATGCGGTTACGTTTGAAGAGTTGCTCGTGCGAACGTCGCCGTCGCACGGAACGTCATCACAGGAAACGAAAATTTAACATTTATACGACGGCACCATTGCGTGAAAGAACGTTCTTGTCGACCCTGTCGGCCTCTTATTAAATTGATAACGTTATCGCGCGGCGAATTCGCGAACGACGTGCTTCTCGTTATCTAATTATTATCCATTTATCACACAGGTGTCCGAAGTTTCGCGAAATTGAACACACAGCGGCGAGGAGGGCGAGCGTGTACGTATTGCGTGTGGCCTGAGCGCGGATGCGAGAGAAGCGACACGCCATTAGGACCAAAGGGCATTGTGGAAAATTTCGCTCTCGTCTCAGCCGCCTCTCGCTACAGACTCGCAGCGGGAACAGCAGCAGCTCGGCATAATGCAGCGAGTCTAGCTACAAATGACCCGAGGTATGTGGTACCTGCGCTCTCAGTCTAGAGGGTCAGAAGTGCACCAAGGGAACGAAAATAGGGAGCAGGAGACGCATAGCGAACATTAAGCATGCCCTTTTAATTCCAAGTTCCGCTTTTCTCACATCGCGCGACAGCGTTGTTTTAGCTTGGTAGTCGGAAAGACATTCTTAGCGTTCAGAACAGGACCGCAGTTCGATATGCATTCAGAACAGGATTCCAGTTTAAGCTTATTCTGTAACTTTCAGCGATAGTGTCGTTACGATATCGTCGCGCAGTTTCTCTACCACACTGAGAGAAAAGAATATCTGAGAAATAAAGAATATTTGCGATAGGTACTAATAAAATATCTATTTATATTAATCTATATACATATATTAGAATGTCTGTCTGTCTGTCTGTTTCCTACAAATGCCTAAACTCTTTGACCAATTTGTGCCAAATTTTGCATAGTTATTCTCTAGAACCTTGGGGAAAATATAGGCTATTACGGAACTTGAATATACCTCACTTCCTCTCTCTGATTACATTTCCTTAACACTTTGTGATAACCTAGATAACGCCGAGTAATTTAAGCTAGTATAAAATATTTTTCAAATAAGAAAATATACATTTTTCTTAAAATTTCGACTTTTCATGAAAGCAATTTAGATTTAAGTATTTAAAAAATTTAGATTTAAGTAAATATATTACTATATAGTATCCACACACACACCGAATAAATATTTTCTATTTTTCAGATGTATTTTTCTTCCGTATATTATACCTACGTAACGACATAGCTCGATACGGTCGTTAAGAAGTTACAGAACAGATCTACAAGGGGAAGAGGAATGAGCGATCTTTCACACAGCGGAGTTTAATGTAATTACCGCTTTGTTTATTATTACTCGGTAAGCCGCACATTGTGCGAGGATTCCTCAAACTAGCGAATTATTCTTCGATAAATAGGACCAATGAAACCTACATCTCCCGTGTCTCTCTCTCTCTCTCTCTCTCTCTTACATCATTTTGGGATCCACGGTTTACTTCGGCGACGGCTGCGTCTTCTCTCTGCCTCGTCTCCCTGTCCCGCTTCGCGAGAACTCCGCACTTCTATCATTATCCTATCCTGCCTCCCTTAACTAGCATCTGTCATTAAAGGAAGCCGCCGCCGCCGCTGCCATTGTGCCCAACTCGTACGAGCCAGTAGACAATGCGACTTTGTCGGACTCCCGCGGCTGTTGTTCACGCCGTCGCTCTCGCTCTCTGTCTCGCCGGTGTTCTCTATCGCGAAATTTCAGGATCTCTCCGTGAGCGCTGATCCGCGATGAAAGGAATAACCTCGCCGTAGTCACCGTCACCGACGAAACGGCACGTGGAGCAACGCAGCCGGCGAAAGAACGTTATCAACGGCTACTGCTCCGTGAATTTTGCGATGAACAATATGAGCTCTCGACTCGACGTAATTGAAACTACGTGTGCGCGATACGTGTTTTCGCGAGCTCTTTAATTTCTACGGTCGTCAAGACTCCTCGTCACTCAAAACTGCAAACGAGTAGATACAGCAGAACTCGAACAAGACGTTTAGCGTTTAGCGTTTGAAATTTCTCGTTAATTCGCAATTTTATACTTTGTAAAATAACAAAGAAATTAAATAGTTGTTAACGAGATATAAAGGAAAATAGTCGAGAGATACGCGCCAAGACCTTTACAAATGTGCTTGTTTTATCGAGTTTTCTTTTACAATATCCTGTGATCAATTCCACTCATTTCTTTTTTCCAAATATCCTGTGGTCAGTGGTGGCAGTGGTGGTAGCGACGATTATTCCGAGCTCGAGAAGGTGAAAATTTAATATCGGATATGCGCGATTAAACGAAGCCGATTAAACGTCTTGAATGTGCCGGCATGAAAAATACGCGAGCGTTTACCGCGAGCGCGGCCGCCCTGGCGTGATAATGGACGGTCACGCCTACCGCATTAGCTCGACTAAAAACAATTAGTCTGATGGCTAGCCGCGGCGTTTCCCCACTCGGAATTATTCGAGAACCGCGACGTAACGATTTCCCGCGTCTCGTCGGAAATCACCGGTCACGGCGATGAGTTTGGCCGGCGTCAGCGCGGCAAGCGATCACGACAAACACGCCGCGAACTGATTTAAATCACTGACGTTATCGACGTGTTATTACAGCGTTCCAGTCGCTTGTTGGGAATCTTTTATCACGGCGACAAATGACAGACAAGACAAACCTGTCATGTGTGTCATGTAGCCACAAATGGAGCGATAAAACGCGAAGAGCAGCTACATATACTCGCCTTTTACGATGATTATCTGATAACTCGCGATACTCGAGGGGTCTCCGTAACGTTTACAGAAGCGGAAAGGAGAGGTTGCACTTTATCTCGGAAATTGCTCTCTCGAGTGAAAATAAAACTCGACGAATATTTATCGCTTCTTACAATGATTGTCTACAAAGTTCGAAGCGCTTCGAACAATTCCAGAACACCGCTCTGCGAAATCCGTCTGTCAGTCCCGCGTAATTAAACAGAAATGAGTGTTGCGAAACGCGCGAGCAGTCGCGCGCGCGCGCACTACAAAGACCTTTAAAGTTTACGAGTCAAATTATGTATCGTTAACTTTACGAACGTTAGGCGCGCGCGGGATAGACTTACAATTAGGGAAATCATCGCTCTTGCTCGTAAATTGTATGTAATCATTGTCCCTCGGCGAGAGACAGAGAGAAAGAGAGACAGAGAGAGAGAGAGAGAGAGAGAGAGAGAGAGAGAGAGAGAGGGGGAGGAGGAAAAGAGACTTACCTCGAGCAATTAACTTTCCTTCCTTCCTTTCTTTCTATCCTTTTCTTCACGCGTGCACGGCCGTTTCTCGAGAGGAGCGCGATTAAACGCGTATCGTAAGGTGGAGAGCGGGCGCTTAATTGAAATCCATTTTGAACGCGGTGCGCGGCCGCGTTTCGTAAGTTATGTCAGTCCACTGGTAAATTGCTTCGTTTGGAACGAGCGCCTCCGGACGATATATAACCCATAGATAACTTGCAGTCGGGCGTTATCAAACTGCGAGTCAGTTCACCGCGGAGAAACCTCCTCCACAATGTTACAGCCACGCGCGCGCGCGCGCGCAGCGTATTCTTGCACAACAACATGAGTTATGTCGCGTGCGCGATGTGTGATGCCGTTAGTTTTTCTTATCCGAGTATTTGTATCATGCTGTTCGCTTTCGCGTGTGTCTTGAAAACGATCGTGGCCATGACAGTCATTTTGCCAGAGCAGTAATCGTCTTGCATTGTTTTCCTCTTGAAAGAGGACACTATCTCTCTATCTATTCGAGACGATTTCGCGAGAGGAGCAATGATTTCGTTTCCCGGTTTACTCTCCTCTGTTTTTGGACATTTGTAAGTGTTCTGTATCGTAATCGTAATACGAGCGTGTAATTAATGTAATTCCCAGCTGAAGAGATCGATTTTTAAATGCGTCAAAGAGAGAGAGAGGGGAGGAAAAGAGAGAGCAGATGGATCGTTTGAAAGCTCGCGCATATTCAAGAAGTTGCGAATTAACGATCGCCCGTGGCCAAGCGAAAGAGTATCTACGATATCGAAGGCACATCAATCACGAGTCGCGTATGAAAGTCTAACGGGATTATCAACGGCTCTATCGTTCGTTTCGAAATATAAGATAAAGATGGAAATGTCCGTTTTATGACAGCAGACGCGATGATCGCGAGTCAATTAACTTGCCCATCGCGATGGGACCTTTCCTTCGACGAGCGAGCCGCTCGTCAAACGTTACGTGTCACACGTGTCATGCGCGGAGCAAGGCTCGATTAAACTCTAAATTGAGATGGTTACGTTGCGAATCAACTTAGTCATACGAGGATACGTCATAGAACGTGACACATCCCGAGCGATCCAGCTTGACACTTCACGAGACAGTTATCCGTCACTCGCGCGCTTTTTTCCTCTCCTGGCTGTCGGTTACTCGAAAGTTAATCGATCGAGCTCCATTCGCGGATTTCAGTAGTGCGTTGCGATACGACCGACCGCGGAAACTGATTAATTTCGCAGCCAAGGATCGAAAGTTCGCGTGGAAAATGCGCGTTCTTTGCATTATTAATACTCCCCTCCCTCTCTCTCTCTCTCTCTCTCTCAATTTTCCTACACACATCGAGCAAATTAATTTTCCCATCACGAAAATATTCATTTATGTTTTCATGAATACACAATTCCGTAACGTAAGTTTCGTGTCGAAACGAATCACGAATGTATGCACGGTTGGCATGTTTGCAGGTTAATTGCTCTTCAGCGAGAAAGAAACTATATTAATTACACAGTTATACGAGGGTGGTCTGAAAAGTTTCCGACCTCAACGTGAAGATAGCAGCACTTGTAAATAAAAGCTAGTGAATTTCGTTGTTCATCTGTTGACAGTTACTCACCGAAGT